AGGAGCCATCTCTGCATTGGTGCCACCTTTCAAACGAAGCTCAGAAGGAGAGGCCGCAAAAAGGACACAGGGCATGGCCACTTGCATTAGCAAGCAAACACTCCTATGATTAAAAAAAAATGCATAGACAAAATAGGGTTTATGCTCTCATTATGTTCCCAGCAAGAAGTGGGACTCAAGTGTTTAAATAGCCCTTCAGATTTTATTGCTGCTTTTACACTCTCCCTTCTTAAGCCTGTCTAGGGGAAAGACATCCATGGTTTCTTTCCCACCCACCTTCCATTTTATTCTCACTATGCTTAGAGCAATAGTTCTTATACTTTTTTTTTCCCTCTCAGGACACTTTCCACTTTTAAAAATTATGGAGGACCCAAAGAACTTTTGTTCTTAAATATTACATTTACCAATATTCACTGCATTAAAAATTAAAATTGCTGCATTCGCTGCCACTACTGTTCCTCATTAACTGATGAGATTTTAATATTGTATTTCAACAAAGGCTGGCAAATAATTTTGATTTCACAGACCCCTGAGTCTTTCAGGACCCCCAAGGGTCCTAAGCCCACACTTTAAGAAATACTAATTTAGAGGGAAAGCAATTGGCTCCAAGTCACTCAGCTTCATAGCTAAACAGGAGTTGGAACTAAACTTTTCTATTGCTAATTCAACTGGTTAATCTCAATGTTGAAATTCTGAGCAACTCTGCATTTGTAATTTGGTGTTAGGATTTTGCAATTGCAGAAACTGGACTTCAATCAAAGGCTCCAGGAGACACAAAAAAGAAAAATCCATAGAAGAGAAAAATGCTCTTTACAAAAGATTTATTCTTAGAAAACAGCAGAAAAATCTACCCCCAAAAAATCAGGACATACAGTAATAAAATATCAGTGTATATGTATGTATTTGGATTTATACCTTTTCTTTCATTTTGCAGCAAGATCTTTCTTAGTTTGGAGTCTTTTAGGTACATTGGACTACAATTCCCATATCTTACTTAGGTGCAGTGGACTACAATTTTAGGTGCACTGGACTACAATTCCCATATCTTACTTAGGTGCAGTGGACTACAATTTTAGGTGCATTGGACTACAATTCCCATATCATACTTAGCCACCCCTTTACTGATTTGTGATGGTTGGATTGTATGAAATACATTTGGAAAGACACAATTCTGTAGCTTTAATGTATAGGTTCTCTTCAAAATTAAGTGCTAATTAATACAAATGCAGAAAACAATACCCTGCTGTTTTAGTGTCTGCTATGTGAGTTCCACCCTTGATCTTCCCAGGTGTGAAAGTGATCTCTGTTGATCCGATGTCTCCACCTTCCATCTGTCCATCACATAGATGACGAACCATTTCCAATCCAGACAGGTGCTGAGGCCTTTAAGTCAAGTACACTGAATTACAACAAAAAGAGAGGCTGGGCATGCATACATGATGCAAAGGATGCTCACCTTAAGGTGACATCTTCCTCCATCACAGGTTAATTAGCCACTTCTCTCTACTTGCCCAGGAAAAATAGCAATAACCCTTGGACAAGCAATTATTCTCAATTACTGCTTCCCTGGTTTAGAAAGAATATTTCTCCAAGATTGGGAAATGGGTGCCTTTTACCTAATTTCACATAGCCTTTGGTTTCAAAATCCTTCTCTGGGCAATCAATTCAGGCAAGTGTGATGTATATTCCTTTGATAGCAATGTTACACAGCCAAAAGGATGTCAAAAAATAAGAAAGGGAGAGGGATTACAGAGATATACGGTTCTACTTATTTTTGGTTCTGGCTCCACCTACCATGTGGGATGTACCTCCCAGTCAGTGTAGGAAATATGGTGCTATGTGAACTAAAATTAGTCTGATTGACTACAGCAGCGGCCCACAACTTTTTGAGCACCAGGGACCTGTTCCATGGAGAAAGGTTCTTCTATGGACTGGAGGGGGTGTGGTTTTGTGTGCTGCCTGCATTCCACAGATGGGGCTTTGCTTGTTTGCACAGCCCAGTTGCTGACATGCTGCGGACCAATAATGGTCCATGGATCAGAGACTGGGGACCACTGCACTACAGTATAGTGTCATATGTCCCTGTAGCAACTTCCAGGACAAAAGTACCACTGGATGGAGCCCACTAAATAGCTAGTTTGAATGTGTGTTGTCTCGGGGTGAAGGGTTATTATTTTATTTTTATTTTTTTATTATTTTTAATCCTTTTATATGCTGTTTTTATAGCCTTGTATGTTGCTTTGAATCACCATATGCGAGTAGGAGGCAATATAAATTTTCTAAATAAATAAAATAAACAAACTTGAGAATTGTTATACTAGCAGATGGCAGTGGCTGGCTGTTGTTTCTGCCTTTGGAAGCTAAGCAGGCTTGCTAACCTGGTTGCTATTTGAGTCATCCAGGGAATTCCAGGGCTGTAGGTTAGACAAGGATGTCAAAAGCAATGCCAACCCATCCACTTCCTTGATTTAAGAGAGTCTTTATCCTTGATAACCCTCAGCAAATGGGTACTCCTGTGCAGCCACCACAAAAACTCAAAGGGATTTGCAGATTAGTAAATTTTCTGAAGTTCTCCACAAACCTGGTATAAACATGAGCCACAATGATCTGATAGGATTCCCCTCACCCTAAGATTAGCTCAAGAGAAATTAGCTTTCCCAACAGTTCACCAAGATTTACCTTAGACCAGGCTGACTCCTGCCAGCTCGGATATTTTTCACCTGCAAAGATTTATTGAGCAAGCAACTCAGAGCTGTAGAAACCCTCAAGATCTGGCCACCCTGCAAGGAAAGCAGATAGTCAAACCTCACAAAACTGGAGAGATTGGAAAGCTTACCCAAAGTCTGTGCCAAGTCCACAGGTTTGTAATGCCTGGGAGGGGGAGAGTGTTAGGGCTGATAAGCACGGATATCATAATACACTTAGTTAGGCAAGCCACTAAGATTGGAATCCAAAGATTAATACTGTATTCCTTTTTCCAAATATAAAAAGACCCACGGCAGAATGGATTTTCGGGGGGTTAACCCCGTCTCTGCGAGGGGGGGGCGAGGGGGGGGAGAGGAGGTTCACCTCTTCCTGCCAGAAAATATGAGAATTGCGACCTTCTTACTTGCTCTTCGACACCAATTCATTCATTCGTTCATTCGTTTATTCCTTGCGGTTGTTCAGTTGCGCCCCTCTTCCGAGCCAGAGCCACGGGATCCGGCTAGCCACGATTCTCTTTTCCGCTAACTCACCCCTTCCATAACGCTGCCATCTATCTCCACCCGGCCTTCGTCGCCCATGGTGGGCCGCCGCTGAGAGGCCGCGTCCTGCGCCCTGCAAGTGAAGAGGCCCTTCCGAGAGACCAACCCCTTCGCCCCCAGGAGCAGAAAAGGAGAAGGACCGGAACCCGACCCAAGACAAGCACGGAGAGCGAGAAATCCAGCCACGGCCGCAGCCACCTCCTCCGGCTTTTCGGCCTCTACTGAGAAAGCGGGCGGGGAGCAGGCGCAGAACAGGCCGGACTCCGCTGCTGCTGCTGCATCACTCGGGAACTCGTTTATGAGTAGCGGGTTAAAAAATAAAGAGCTCCGGCTGCGAAGTTATTTCCATATACAACTTTTGGAAAACCCTTTCCAGGAAGGCTGTTATTTTTTTTTTCCTTCCTAAATACATGTTAAGTTTCTCTTCAACCACAGCTCGGCTGAAACGCGTAGCGTTTGCTTGTCAATCCCCAACGAGGTCTGTTGAATGACTGCACAAATCAGAAAAAGACATTGGGCGTGACAACACTGTAGCAGACCTAGATAGATAGATAGATAGATAGATAGATAGATAGATAGATAGATAGATAGATAGATAGATAGATAGATAGATAGATAGACAGACAGACAGACAGACAGACAGACAGACGAGAGGTGGTAGGATTTATTTATTTTATTTGTCAATCGCTTACAAGATAATAGATATAAGTATAAACATGAATAAGAATACAGGAAATAGGTACAAATAAATGGGGACAATAGGACAGGGACGGAAGGCACGATGGTGCACTTATGTAGAGATAGGTAGATAAGTAGATAGACAGACAGACGAGAGGTGATAGGAAGTAGGTAGGTAGGTGGGTAGGTAGGTAGACAGAAGACAGACACGAGAGATAGTAGGTAGGTAGGTAGACGAGAGATGGTAGGTAAGTAAGTAGGTAGGTAGAGAGATAGATATTGCCTCTAAGGATACGGACTAAGAAATCTGTATAGCCTGAAAGCTTGCATCCGTTTTATCACAGTGTGCACGTGAGATATATTCATACACATGCGGAGAGAACGGCGTATGGTATGTACCCACATAGAAGCAGACACACCTCTAGGCAAGTTCACGGACAGGAGGGTGAAGTCCCGCCCGGTGAAACATCTATTTTATTTTATTTATTTATTTGATTTGCCAATTGTTTACAAGATAATAAGTATAAGTGTATACATAGTTGTGAATACATGAAATGGGTACATATAAGAAAAATAAAAGAATAAGAGAAACAATAGGACAGGGACGGTAGGCACGTTGGTGCGCTTATGCACGCCCCCTACAGGTGAAGTTGGACCCATCCCTGTTAATTTCCCTTAAGTCCCTCAAGACTTGGTTATTTTTATTTTTATTTATTTTTTATTTATTTTGACTTGTCAATCGCTTACAAGATAATAGGGATAAGTATATACATAGTTATGAATACATGAAATGGGTACATATAAGAAAAATAGAAGAAACAATAGGCACGTTGGTGCGCTTATGCCACCAACTTGAGGAATCTCAAGAGAATGATGAGATAATGAGATGACTCCGTTGACTGTAAATTCTGACGTTCCCTCCTTGTATTTTTTAACCATATCTTATTTTTGATGGTTGGTTTTATAAAGACAAGCACCACAGCCATTCATTTTACCAAAGAAGGCAGCTTTTCACGTTCTAATTGGCCAGCGGGAGGAAAAGGCACGACGCGATTGGCTGATAAAAGGGAGGAGTGGGAAAGGCGTGGGAAAGAATCTTTCCGGAATAAGATGGCGGCAACGATTGCATTGAGGAGCAGCTGCAGAACAGCCGGGCGTTTGGTAAGAAGCAGCGAGCGGTGGGAGAGTTGAAAAATGTGAGAAGTGGGTACAGTAGATGCTTCGTAGGTCCTGCTTGTTTCCATTTTTCTCTAGAGAGAAAACAGAACGGAAAGTACAGTATCTACTTGATCCTCTGCCTTTTTAGCAAGTGCATGAATCGTTGGCCCTGCTCTTTTCGATTTTGAGATTTATAGGCATTTATTAAGAATTAGCGAGGCAGTCGGCACAATGAAAGGACTGCAAACAATCCAGGTTTGTGGCCTCTGCCATATTTATCCTTCCAAAAATAAACTTCGATGCGTATGCGTTACACAAATATGAGCATCTTTGTGATTTGATATTCTACTTTGCTAATTTCTATGGTTTTAGTGCTACCAAACCTATAAAGATATTTCTATGTTCTAATCCTATTCATGCCGTTTTTAAAGTTACTTTTAATTCATGGTTGAAATGCTTCCCAACAGCTGTTTGCCTGAAATAATGCAGACTTTCACCCCACATCACGTGTGTTAATTTAAGACGCTTTCTCAGAGTTTTTGAAGTTCAGGGTCTGTGCAGTTCCCATGTTAGCTTGAAACTAAAGCAAAGCTTGTTTGCTTTTTGCAATATGCAGTTGTACTGCACTTTAAGAAATCTTGTTCTTGCACAGGTGGAAAAGTCACCTTGCCCCCATTTTCTGATCATAACTCACAGGTTGTTAATTCACAGATCTTTCAGGGATGAAACTGGCTTTGCAACTCCCTTATAACCAATTGCTCAAGGTTTTTATGTTTTGAGCAATTAATCAGGCATCAGGTGGGAGTAACTTGGGAGAAGGCTGACATCTCCAGACTGACTTCTATATGTATGTTTTCAACATGTGGAAGAACAGACCACAATTTATCATTTTTTAGCTACTTTTGATGGACTACAGTAGAAACAGAATGTTGGAAAGCTTTCCAGTTCCCCAGATTTCCAACCAACATGGTTGTTGTCTTGTTGTAGATCAGAGGTTTTCAGACCTTTTCAGGCTGCATAACCTATAACCTTCCAGATTTCTTTTTGCTAATAGTATATTCTGCTGGAATCTAGATGGTTTTCTGTGTGATCTAAAAACTGAGTGTTTCTAGTTCAAATATAAGCATTTAGGATTACCTATTATAGCTTTAGTTATGGCTCAGTTTCTCTGATTTATGGTATCAGTTGTATGCTATCTTTCAGAAGTTTACTTATAAATAAAATTAGACAACCCATGACCTGCTAAGTCATTCTTTCAAGGATATTTTCTTACCAAAACAGAGAAACGGAATGATAACCGTTTAGCAAAAATAGTGGGAGTGACTTCCAACTTCCTGCTGGTTTCCCCATTGTTGTTGCTTGTGGAAAGCTGGCAGGAAATGTTGGAAATCCTTTCTCTTCAGATGAACTGTCTGCCATTTTGTGGAGGGGAGGGGAAATAAAGGTAATGATGGATCATGAGCAAAACTGTACCCCCACTCCTTATTCTGGCATTTCTCCAAAGGTTGCCTCCATTCAGGGACGAAGAGAGCTCACCCATTGGCTTTTGGCACCCCGTTCCCAGCCAGCCCAAGTTTTCAAATAGGCATTGCTCCCTCATTCTTCTCTCACCACTCACTGTTAAGATTTTAGCCTCTGTTCCAAAATGACCAATCACTGCTTGCCTGTTGTGCCTTACTGCCAGCCAATTGGGCACAGGAAAATGAGGGATATAACCCTCATTTTTCCTTGAGCCATGCAATTTACAGGTTTCTGGGAAATGTAGTCGGAAGGTGCAGTGTTGCTGAAACACTTCAACATCCCCAAATTTCATTCCCACTTGAGTCATGAGGGCTGGCATTCTGTAAATTATCCTATTTGAGTTATCTTGGTTCAATAATTGTTGTCCTGTACTTTACAATTTTGCCCAATTTATGGTTACAAACAGACACAAAGAGTTTTAATAATATATAGATAAGGTTTGAGTACTATAATGGATTACACATCTGAAAAGGATCCAAGGTCTTGTAATACCTTCGTTTTAATGAACAGAAGTTGTGCAGTTGTGATTACTTGCCTGTATTATTTCTTGAATTGCCAGATGCACAATCTTGGATTATTAGTTCTTTGCCTTTGAGAAAGTATTCTTGATAACAACCTGTATCCTTGAGTGACATCTTTACATGGCTTCTTTTTATATATAATTGTGAGTTTCTTTATATCAGTTTTGACTTTAATATTTGCTTTTCACTAGATGTAGATTGCCTGCCATAATGACATTGAAATTCCTCTAGTCACTCTGGCTGACTTCAGTAATCTTTTAAGGTAGAAAGTAACCTTAAGCTTCATATCAGAACATTAGTTGCATATCAGAATATTCAATAAACAAATTCAAAGAGACTTGCAAAGCAGATATTAGAGGTCATATCTAACCAGAATCATCATATAATTCTCCTCCTATTAGAAATATATAAACTTTATCATCTGATTTGGGAAGTTATTTCTACTTATTTTGAGCACTATATTTATATGAACCTCTTATTACATTAAGCATGTATAACATGTTATCACTTTAAATTTTGCTCCATTTTAAATCAAACAGCAGGCATACTTCTTTCTCCTTTCCTTGCTCCCTTTCACAGATTCTGTGAAATTATGAACTCTTAAGAATTAATTCACAATTACTTATTTTTTTTGAAACCATACATAAATTCAGGTCCTGTTGCATATGGAACTCAGATAAATCCTATATTACTTGGTCCCACTCAAGAACTATTGTTAGGAATATAAGTCACCTAACAGGTATTTGGGTTAGAAATATATAAACCAGGATAAACATTTTAGTACTATATCTTTAAGGGAATGCAAGAGCATGCAATTGGGTGTGGTTTCTCAAACAGCCATAAGATGGAGCCAGAAACCTGGGTTGTTTTAGTCTTAATCTCAGAAGAGAGTGTGTCTCCGTCTCTGTTTCCTTCTGTTGGAAAGTATTGCCGTTGCTCCATTTCTTCTAATTGACTGATATTACTGGATTTAATGTAAGTCTGATACTGAACTGTTTTTGACACTGGACTTTGATATTTGGATTATCCCTGGATTGAAAACTGACTGATTTAACTTGTGAATGACTTTGGATTGCTTATTTTGGACTTTGCTTAAACCTTTCTGGAAGTAAAAACCTACATTTACTGCACAGTGTATCTGTGTACAGTGTGTGTATTATTCAAACACTACTCTCAAATACGTCTCCCTGTATGCACTCATTCTCCTAACGGGGAATTACCTCAACAACTATATCTACTTCCTTGGGGCTAATAGGGTCAAATTCTTCTCGGATAAAAGGAATACTTCAGCATTTAAACCACTAAATGCACTAAACTGTCTGCAGTTACAAATTGCTTTTTCTTTTACTGATTCATATATTTTTAAAAAATAAATACTCAGAAGTGTTTCTCAGTTCCCAAGAACTTTGTGTAGTTTTTCTGGCAACATTATGGAAATGACTTTCTATCCTTTTTGTAGGCTTTTTTTTTCTTTCAAATCTCCCTATGAAATTTAACACTTTTAAATTTTCCTATGGTTTTTTAAGTAGTGACATTTTTCAAGTTTAGCTAGCTGTTCTACCTGAGTTTGATATTATCAACATACGTAAATAAAGTTTATTTGAAATATGGCTGATAACCAATAAATTTGGGAAATTACTTTATAAAAGTCTGTAATAATTACACTGAATTCCACTATGAAATAGGCCTTATATAAGATGCCAGAGCAGCTAATCTCAACAAAAGAATTAGCAATAAACATAATCTTGCTGTATAAATCCATGCATGTACAAAAATATAGTATATATTTTGATTCTTTGTATTTATAAACTTAAATCTTCACATAGCTATAGTTTGGCTATGGATTGCATAAAACATTTATACAGAAGTTATCTTCCTACAGACGTAAATGTTATCTATAGTGCCCCACTGTTATTTTTAAAATGGAAATATACAGAACAGTGGAAGAAAGGTTTTTTTTAATAATGGCGTATTTTGTTTAGTAAAATGCTTTTTAAAAAATTGTTTTATTTATTTTGATTTATTTTGACTTGTCAATCGCTTACAAGATAATAGGTATAAGTATATTCATAGTTATGAATACATGAAATGGGTACATATAAGAAAAATGAATCAATAGGACAGGGACGGTAGGCCCATTGGTGCGCTTATGCACGCCCCCTGCAGACCTCGTAGGAAAGGGGTGAGGTCAATAGTAGACAGTCTAAGGTTAAAGTTTTTGGGGTTTGGGGAGGAAACCACAGAGTCAGGTAGAGTATCCCAGACATTGACCACTCTGTTGCTGAAGTCGTATTTCCTGCAATCAAGTTTGGTGCGGTTAACCTTGAGTTTGTATCTATTGTGTGCTCTTGTGTTGTTATGGTTGAAGCTGAAGTATTCATTGACAGGTAAGTCATTGCAATGTATGATTTTATATACCATACTTAGATCAGACTGAAGATAGCGTAATTCAAGGTTTTCTAGGTCTAGAATTTCAAGTCTGGTGGCATAAGGTATTCTACAATGAGTAGAGGAGTGGAGAACTCTTGTGAAATATTTCTGGACTTTCTCAACTGTGCTAATATCAGATACGTAATGTGGGTTCCAGACCGATGAGCTGTATTCGAGTATTGTTCTAGTGAATGTTTTGTATGCTCTAATTAGTAGTGTGATATTAACAGAGAAAAAGCTACGTAGGATTAAGTTAACAACTCTTAATGCCTTTTTGGCTATGTAGTTACAGTGGGCTCTAGTACTTAGATCATTAGAGATGAGTATTCCAAGGTCCTTTACAGAACTTGGATCATCAACAAGGTGATGATCTTGACTATTCAGCCTGTATTTTATTTTCTGATTTTTTTTGCCAATATGTAAGACAGAGCATTTATTTGTTGAGATTTGAAGTTGCCATTTGTTTGACCATTCTGATACATAGTCAAGATCTTTTTGAAGGGTAGCAGTATTGTCTGTTGTATTGAACAGCTTTACATCATCAGCGAAGAGAACGCAGTTGCTCTTAATATGATCACAGAGGTCATTTATGTAGAGTATGAAGAGAATTGGTCCTAGAACACTGCCTTGGGGGACACCACTGTTGCTTTGCCCTGATTGAGTTGTGTAGTCCATATGTTTTTGCAGTGTAAGAGTTGCAGATTACAGGATAGTTTTTTTTCTGAAACCAAATTGTTTATTGTCTTTTTCTATTCATAAATATTGTCTCATTTTTTTGTCTGTGATATTGTGAGCCACCCAGTGTAGTTCTGAAGTCAGGCAGTACCTAAATAAAATACATTGAATGAAACTAATCCCAAGAAGCGTGCCTCATTCAAACCAGAATGCCCCCAAGAATACTTACTATTCTGAGAGCATTTGGGGAATGGTCCATCAAGGTTAATTGAATCTGCTTACTTATAAAATGGCCTGTAGAACTAGTAGAGAACTGCATTCAGGAGATGTTCCCTAGTGAGGTTGTATCTTTGCCAGTCTGCCTAGCGCCCACTGCCCAAATGCTCTTGTCACCCAAACTTAAGTAACTTTATCTGGAGAGTGAACACATGTCACATTTCTAAACCAAACAATGGATTACAGCCCCGTTTTCCGTTTTTGTATAAGAATAATTGTGTGGTCTAGTTCAGGAGTTCTCAACCTATAGTCGAGAGGGGGGGGGGGGGGGGGGGGGCTGCAGTGTCATCACAGGAGCCCCACAAAGGCTTGAAGAAATGTTATGATTTTAAAACTTGATCTGTGGCCATGGTCCGTGGGCACAAAAAAATATTTAAAGGGGTTCCATGGTGAAGAGAAGGTTGAGAATCACTTGCTTTGTAGCTTGCAATTTTCTTTAAAAAAAAGAAGAGGAAGAAGAAGAAGAAAAGGAAACTTTAAGCCAGGGGTGTCCAACCTCAGCAAAGCTGGCTGAGGAATTCTGGGAGTTGAAGTCCACAAGTCTTAAAGTTGCCAAGGTTGGACACCCCTGCTTTAAGCATTAAAGTTGATTGGAACCAGGAGCAACTTTTAGGTGTCGAAAGAAGCAATTACTACCATAAAGTTACTAGATATGCCTCCCCTTAAACACTTTTAAGTAAAAGTTCATAAAGATTAGCTGCCATGTTAAATACATTGGGATTTCTTCAATAGAAAGAATGAAACAAAGAGATTTTAAATTGACCTTAGTGTCTGCAAATCTTGCTGTGTGAGAGATGTGGGTGGCATTCATGCTGTATCTCTGATGAACTTTGATTATAAGGTTGCTGTCCTTTCAGCACTGGAGAATATATTCACAGCATCTGTGAATATATTCTAAGGTGGACCAGTTTTGAAGAATAGGAAATTACTTTTGCCTCATTAAGATGGTGGACTTTGTATTAGAGCAATGGAATAGGATAATAGGCTCACATAATTCTTATGAAACAAATGTATGCCATTTGAAGAATTAAAAATCGTATACTGTGGCTGCACTTTCTTCTTTGATATACAAAAAAGAATAAGAGAAATGATTTCTCTTATAACTTCTTGCGATACGGCAGTAATTCCCTTTCTCTCAAAGTGAATGGTCATTAATGGACAGAGAGATAAAAAAAGATGCTTCTGCTAATTTGGGTCTCAGCTCAAAGTTTTTGTACTTCTTGCAAATTAAAAGGGAGTATGTGGAAAAATTAAAAAAAAATACTTCATGTTCTTACAATTTTTATTTTTTTCCCCCCTTGGCCAGCTCTGTGTTCATCAGATAAGACTACATAGTGACTTTTGTTTGCTAAAGCAAAAATACATTTCTAAGTTTGAGAAGTCTTTATGGCGGTATCAACATCAGCATCGATTTTTTAGAATAACTGCTGGTAAGATTTCTTCACATTAAAATTAGTTAATATTTTCCTTTCTTACATGTCATTTGCTCTATAATGTACATATATATATATATACCGTGTTTCTCATATAATAAGGCTGGGTCTTATTTTTTTTTGAGCCCCGAAAAAATGGCTAGGCCGTCTTTTCGGGGGTGACTTAATTCCCCCCCCTTTGCATCTTTGGGTGGGCAGGCGGCGACGGCTTGGATGTTGACCTCGGCGTTGGTGGGGCACTTCGTATCGGAATCAACGCAGGCAGCACCATATCCGGGTGTGCAACAAAAGTACTTCCTAACTGCAAGCCCCCCCACCATTCCCCACCATTTCGCATGTTTTAATATAGGCCTTAATTTGGGGGGGGAGGGGCTTAATTTCATTTCATGCCTATAAAACATGCTGGGACTTCCTATTTGGGGAGGCCGTATTGTTGGAGAAACAGGGTATGTATATATGTGTGTGTGTGTGTGTGTGTATAATATATATAACTGTGGCAAGAAAAGTCATAAAATGGGGCAAAACTCACTTAACAAATGTTTCACTTAGCAACATAAATTTTGGGCTCAATTGTGGTCATAACTTGAGGACTACCTGTACAGCAGTCCAGTCTACTGTTCTGGAGATATAAGACAGACCCTGTGAATGCATTCAAACAATTGTTTAAAAATTATCCTTTTAATTGATCACACAGTTCATCATATGCATGACACCCAAGCCATTGATAATTCAGGTAGTCCTCAATTTATGACCATAATGGAGCCCAAATTTTCTGATGTTAAGTGAGACATTTGTTAAGTGAATTTTGCCTCATTTTGCGACCTTTCTTGCCACAGTTGTTAACTGAATCACTGCAGTTGATTAGTTAGTAACCCAGTGGTGGGTTTCAAAGAGGTATACCACTGGTTTGGTGGGCATGGCTTGGTGGGTGTGCTTAGCACGCGTGCGCACACTTTGCGCATGTATACCAAGCGCACACTTTGCGCACGCGCAGAGGCTTTCCTACTCACCACCTGCAATCCCTGTAGCTTCAACAGCTGGCATGCGGCAATCTGCTGTGTCGCACAAAGCAACTGCACGCCAGAAGCAGGGAATAGATATCAGTATGGGTGCCTGGGCAGGTGGGTGGGCCCAACAGCAGCTCATCAGAGAGAACCGGTTCGATCTCAGCTGATCTTCGCACTATCGGTACACCAGAACTGGGCCAAACCGGTAAAATAGCACCACTGCCCCAGTTTTTCAGTGAATCTGGCTTCCACGTTGACTTGATTTGTCAGAAAGTCTCAAAGGGTGATCACATGACCTTGGGGACACAGCAATGATCATAAATATGAACCGGTTGCCAAGCATCTGAATTTTGATCACAAAATCATAGGGTGCTGCAAAGGTTATAACTGAAAAATGGTTATAAGTCACTTTTTTTCAGAGCCATTGTAACTTTGAACGGTCACTAAACGAACTGTTGTAAATCGAGGAGTACCTGTAGTTTTCTAGTCCTAAACAATGTAGAAATTGAAGAGTTCAGAGATCATGAGCTTTTATTCTTTGATTTGGAATAAAATCGGAAACTACTGAATTGAGGACTCTGGCTTCTTTCATGTAAAAGGATATAAAAATCGTCCAACCCCATGTTCTTTAGCCCAGTTTATAATGCTAATGTGTAAATGAATTTAGCCCTGCCTTCATTGGGGTAAAGTCTTAGATAATTGGTCAGAGGAATGTCACATTTAACAAGACAGCATTTCAATTCTGTAGGTCAATAGTCACTGCCCTTTTTTGGGCTCCTGTGCTGAAAATTGTGTGCGTGCTTGTGTGCCAGCACCCAGAAGGCAATGTGCGCGGCTCCCCCACACCCCCTACACATGCGCGCCCAGTTCCTCCTGCACGCCGCCCTTATCTGCACTGGGCATGTGTGTGTCTCCCAGCTGGTTTTCAGTCCATTTGAGGCCTTTTAAAGCCTTCCAGAGGCTCAAGGGAAGCCTCTGCAGCCTTTGGAGGCCGAAAAATGGGCCTGTTTCGTCACTACCGATATTTCCGGAAATACAGGAAGTGATGAAACGGGCCTGTTTTTCAGCCTCCAAAGGCTTCAGAGGCTTCCCTCGAGCCTCTGGGAGGCCGTAAAAGGCCTCAAACAGGCCGGAAATCAGCCAGGAGGCGCAGTGTCAGGATTCCAGCAATTACTTCAATTAAATCCAATTAAATTTTATGAGTTGACAGTAAGTTTGACTGAGGCTCGCGTGCCGGCACATATGGTTCTGCGTGCCACCTGTGGCATGCATGCCATAGGTTTGCCATCACGGTTATAGGTTCTGCTTTTGAGGTACAGGGGAAGTAGTCCAGTATGCATTTGCAGAGATAGCTTATCAACCACACAATTCTTGCTTAAAATGCCAATTAATTGATTGTTTAGATGCATCAAGGTGGGTTCAACTCTTAGTGACCATATAGATAGATTGATTTTCTTCAGGATCATCTATCCCTAACCTGGTCTCTTCCAATGGTGCCTCTATCACTACTATAACAGTTCATTCATCTTGCTGCTGGTGTTTTCTTCTTCTTTTTTCCTTCCACCCTTCCCAGCATTAGAGCTTTCTCCAGAGAGCTGGATCTTCCCATAATGTGTCAGAAGAAAGATATAAAGATAGCAAACTATTTGTAATGACAGTGCTGGGTCAACAAACCAAGATCATTTATTCATAAAAAACATGTTGCTTTTACCTTTACATGTTCCTTTTGTCTACAGGCAGCCTAAATATTAACATTTACTGATTTTTGAAGTTGAGCCTGCATTCTGTTCACATCTGCTGACCAGTTAGCTTCAGTTGCAGGACTTCAAAGTAAAAAAAAGCATGCAGCCATTGAACTTCTGCATCTGTTGGCAAATTGTAATTACCCAAGGCCCTTTTCCTCTGCATTTTAGTTTTTAAGGATTCTGATTTGTCTGCCTGTAGCTTGAACTACTTCATCTCTTCCAATTTTTATTTATTAATGCTTTTTTAGATATTTTCCTTTGTTTAAGATTTTCCTTCTTTGTCTTCAAGCTTCACACAGCCAGATTGTTCAGTTCAAGCTCTCTGATATTGGAGAAGGGATCACAGAAGTGACAGTGAAAGAGTGGTAAGTTTAAATTGTGTATTTCTTCAGATCAGTTCCCTAACTAAAAAAAAGTTTGCTTTTTGAAAAGATGGAATCGGAAAGAAAACCATCTTTCACTTCTAAGAAGGTTATAGAGATAATGTTCTGTTATTAGCCATCATTATTTTATGTTTGGTGCAATCAAGGCATTGAGAACTAGGCCTCATTTTTCTGACTCAAGGGCTGATGTGTGAAGAAATGTCCTCATATTTCTCAAAGAGTTTATTTCCATGCCTTAACATCTCTGTTGAAATTATTTGGTTTATAAATTGCTTACTCTGTTTATCATTAAAAATTATCCTGAGATAGGATTGTTTAACATTCTGGGCAACTGAATCTAAACACTTTCTCATATATGTCTGGAAAGCTTTAATTAACCCAATATCTGTGGAAGAAAGTATTGATACATGAACATAGTCAGTTTGCTCAAACTAAAGAAGGATAGTGGATAGACACAACTACTCCTTTGTTCAAAGCCTTTGATCACACTAGGTTGTTAAAAAGTCAAGCTTTCAAGAACCATTTTGCAGGTCTACAGTAGCAGCATTTTCCATGTTTCTCATTATTTTTGCACATGCCATTCTTACTGAAGCTGCCCTCAAGTTGAGCTTGATGCTACATTAATAGCAATAACTCCATAGTGCTTTACAACACTCCCTGAGCAGTTTATAAGGTCAGCATATTGCCCCCAACAATCTGGGTCCTCATTTTACCAATCTCTGAAGGATAGAAGGCTGAGTCAACCTTGAGCCTGTCAGGATTGAATTCCAGACTGTGGGCAGAGCTAGCCTGCAATACTGCATTCTAATCACTGCACCACCAGGGTTCATGCAGTTTTCTTGACAGCTATAAGGAGGTGGTAGGTTGTTGAGTTCTTGAATGCTACTCTAGTCTAAAGCAAGACACCTGCTTGTGGTCTCCCATCTAAGTGCCAGATGAACCAGGGTACCTGCCATAACCGGTTGGCCACCTGCTAAGATTTTATGAAAGCTGTTTTTGGAGATCAACTTCATCCTTGTGTATATCGTGCGACTTTTTTTCCTTTTTTCAGGTATGTAAAAGAAGGTGATGTTGTGTCACAATTTGATAGCATCTGTGAAGTACAAAGTGATAAAGCTTCGGTCACAATCACCAGCCGTTATGATGGCGTCATTAGAAAACTCCATTATGGGTTGGAAGAAATTGCCCATGTGGGAAAACCACTGGTGGATATAGAAACGGCTTCTGTAAAAGGTAATATTTGTTTCTTTTCCTCGCCGAGTCAGGATGTCACCATATAATCAACAGTGTTGAATATTGTTTTGTAATTATTTGGTTCCTATATTTGGTAAAATGTACTTTAAGCCACGTGTTTATGTGAAGATGGGAATGCACATGTATAAAAAATATGAGACCATCAAGGAGGCTCTGGAGAGTTTCTTCTAGAAGATTTTAATTTATGTGCCTTTTGGAAAAATACCAACATGAAGCCTGATAAGAAGTCACAACAATGGAGGGCTCTGAAGACACGAAATGGTTATCAGAACAGAAGGTGGTTCTTTATGAAGTAGATGAGTTGCTGCTATTCAAATGGAAGAGTTGGCATCAAAAGAGTTCCAAGCAGGGACTGGCTAATCCTTGTCAGAAATGTTAACGATCAGTGGAACTGTAGTACTTTAGACTTAGAGCCATCATATAGAATAAGAGTAGCATATCTTATACTATTATTTTGGTCAAATGTGATAGGGATTTCCTTTTTCTTCAAACACCTGATTCTTTACTCTCTTTCCTTTCTTCTTTTTGGGAAGTATGCCAAAGGCTAGAAGCTCCTGCTTTCTTACATTATTATAACAATTTAATCTGGCCTGTTGAAACCACACAGTTGTTAAAGCTAGTAAGTGAATCTGGCTTCCCTATTGATTTTGCTTGTCAGAAGGTCACAGAAGGTAATCACATGACTCCAGGACACTGCAACTGTCATAAATATGAACCAGTTGCCAAGCATCTGAATTTTGATCATATGATCAAGAGGATGCTACAGCAGTTGTAAGTGTGAAAAATGGTCATAAGTCACTTTTTTCAGTACTGTTGTAACTTCGAACGGCTACTACATGAATAGTTGTAAATCGAAGATTATTTCTCCTTCATATTCTTTACTCTTTCTATTTTTGCTAGAACAACAATGCTATGAGGTGAGTTGGGCTGAGAGGGAGTGACTGGCCCAAAGTTACCCAACTAACTTTCATGCCTGAGGTGGGACTAGAACTCCTGGCACCTGGCATCTTTATCACTATACAAAGCTGGTTCCGCTTCACTTAATCCACATTGTTTATTTTGGGTCCAATCTGCAGCTGTAACTCCTGAAGAAGATGTGGTTGAAACACCGGCTGTGTTCATTGAAGAACAGATCCACCAGCAAATCAAAGGCCATAAGATTTTAGTAACCCCTGCTGTTCGCCGCCTTGCTATAGAAAACAATGTATGTTGTTTTTTTATTACTCAAACAAGGGTTCTTGCAGTTGATGTACTGTTTGTATTGTAAATATGTAGCATGTATACATTGGCCTGCATGCCAAAATCATCACTGATCGGAGAAACTAATTATAAACTTCAAGATTTGGCAACTACTTTATAAATGAAAGAGATATGCTCCATAAGTGATGCAATCATATGCTTGCCTCTTTAAAAGCCTTGGTCTACTGTATGTAAATATTATGTATTCCATCCTCTGATTTAGGTTTAGAATAGGAACTATTCACTACACTGAATATAGTATCAAATATTGAGCAGAGGTTGATGAGTATTAATGTGGATGCATAATTTCCAAGAAATCTACTTCCCAAAGGAACTTTGGAAAGAACTCTTGACAACTCTCTCCCTCTTTACCTGGCCTAAAGAGAGTGGAAAACTCTTTGAACTTCCTGTGAGAATATTTCAGCTTCAATGAAATATTGACAGTATAAGATAATTTAAACACTGGAGTTAGGCTGTGAATGGCTATGTGTTAAATATTTTGCATTTAAAGAGCCTTGAGTCCAAGCAGGGAATAGAGCAAAGTTTTCTGTCATATAAAGGAAATTAAATGCATCATTGCAGAAAACTTTGTGCATTTCAGCGGATGCATAAAGCATAATGGTGAAGCAAAGAGAACAGAATAGTTAGTGAGATGGAAAGAGAATCTCTTTCATACACTAGGAGAGCTGTGTCTGAAAAACTTGGGAAGCAGCTTCCCTCTACTATGGTGTCTGCACTCACCCTAGCAATGCCAGTTGCATCAAACAGTTTCTTGCAGATATAAGGAGTGTTTCTAGATAGCAGTCTCATTAAGCAGCCATCCCCTTCATCTCTGGAATCTGAAATAAAAGGTCCTCAAACTATCATCTTCCACTTGAAATTCTCCCCACATTTCCTTATTCATTTGCAGTCATATTACAGAAAACTTACTAAGGAGGGAAAGATGGACCAGCATATTGAAAACTTCCCTCAGAAAGTATAAGAGCTCTTTTATCTGCTTGGTTTGTCAGCAAATCAGCTTCAAAATCTAACAAGAATTACACATGTGGGTTCTATATGTGGGCTTGAACAAATTGTTATGAACAGGCAATACAGAATTTTAATAATTTAATTGCATTCAAATTTGGGACAGGGTGGATGCATATCAGGTCCGTGGTTTCAAGTGTCAGATGCTTCCAAAACTTGACCCACCATGGAAAATTTAAATGAAATCAAACACATGGATTCCTCAAGTGAGTTACAGACCTGCCATTTGCTTCCGTTCTTCCTTAGTTTGCAAGAACTATGTGTTTTCATGTCATGCTCCATTTCTGGAGTTCATATATAGGTTTTCATGGATCTGAGGAAGCACATTGTAATCTACAAATGTGTTGGTAACATTGGTTGTTTTGTTCAACTGGGATGGCTACATCACTGTGAGTTGTTGGTGGTCCTGTGTCTTTCAGATAAAGTTGAGTGAAGTTGTTGGAACAGGGAAAGACAACCGTATTCTCAAAGAAGACATTCTTAACTACTTAGCTAAGCAGACTGGAGCAGTTTTACCTCTGTCATCAAAGCCTGACATCAGTGCACCTTCCTCAAAACCAGATGTTGCTGAAGACAAGTCAAAAGAGAAAGCTGAAAAAACTGTACCGCCAGTTTCTAAACCTATAATTTCAGCGAAAGACAAAACAATGGCCTTATCCGGTAAAAAGAAAAAACATATATTTTAATAGCACGTGTGAAACATTTATAAATAACAACTGCAAAATGCTGTTGCAACTTTGTGATTTTAGAAGGGTACTGTGGGACATTCCACAGCTGTCTTTTTTATGTTGAAGTATTATCAGAATTGTGGTAGACCCACAAAAATAGATAGTTGTATCATCTCTAGCTGTTGGTATTGATTGGGTGAATTTTTCAGACAATCAGTATTTTCAGAAATTTAGTGAAATTTCACTGATATACACCAACAATTAGGGGGACTCCAAGCAATGTTTATTAGTTCCAAAACTAGCAAATTTCAATGGGCCATTGGTCTTTTGTACCCAAATGAGCCAAGAACGAGAAGTATAATGTTACATAGGTTCTATATAGAACATTGATTGAGGGCAATTTGAACATATTTTAATAAGCTACCCCAATTGAAAGAATTGCTTTACAACTAATAAGCAAACAAGGTAATTACAAAGGTAAACCTGGACATTCTTCACAGTGCAGAAATATTACAGACACAGACTTCGGATGTATGGCTTGTTCCAAGATACTAATTATTGTTCTAACTATAGAATCAATTATAAACTTATAGACACAAAGTTGCACAGTAAAGAAGTTTCCATTCTTAAAAAGTATTGTATGAGAAATATAGAAATAGACATACAGATATCTAGAGATACATAGTATCTATACCATAGTGCTAAAAGTAAGCACATGATTACATAATTACTTCAACCTAAGTTTGTGTTCCAGATCTCCCCACAATACATTTGGAAATGTAGATCTGGAAAGGAAGTTTTTACATATGCCACCAATGCATTATTTAGATTAGAGAGCTCATCAAGGCTCCAATGAAAAGAAACGAATAGTTTTCAATGCATGTGAGCGTATTTACTAGGTGCAGCCGGTAGTTCAGCCTAATAAATTGAATCTGGATGCTGATTAACATACAGATACCAATGCAAATCATTGTTTTAGACAAATGAATATAGAACCAGATAAAGATTGCGAGCCAGTCCCATGTTTTCTACCTCTAAGGTTGTTTTTCAGAATTATTTATTTATCAAATTTAGAAGCCTAAATTTTCTTCCTAATTTTTCAGAATTAGTTGGTTTAATTTCCCGGTTCCTAGAAAACTAGTATGGATAACTACTGGGGATTCCTGATTACAGTAATGAGATCTTATTTTGCTAGAGAACAACCTTCTGTTGCAACCTAAGACTGGGTGTTATTCATTTTAACTGCTTCTCCTGCATAACTCACTGGTGATGTAGAGCAGGGGTCCCCAACCACCGGGCCCCGGACCGGTACCGGTCCGTGGATCACTTTGTACCGGGCCGCAAAGAAATAAAAATAAAAAATAAAATAAAAATGGCGGCTTTCTTCGCCTTCGGTGAATGCTGCTGGGATCAGGGATCAAGAACACAAAGGAGAGAAGGGGAGGGAGGAAGCAACCGAAGCCTGTCCTGCTCTCCGGCTCAGCGGCTTCGGTTTCCTCCCGCCTTGTTCCTCTCTCAGTCGCTCTCTCGCTCCTCCACCAGCCCAGGAAGAAACTGCTTCAAAGAAGCCGGCAGGGTGGCTTCCTGTCAGCGCAGCTCCTCCGAAGCGCCCGTTCACCCCCACCCTGCCGCCCGTGGTTTAATCCAGTGCTCCGTTCTGCCTGCCTGCCTGCCTTCGTTTCTGGTTGTTTTGGAGCAGCTTCGGCTGAGAATAATAACTATTCGCCTCTTTTTCTCAGCCAAAGCTGCTCCGAAACAACCAGAAGCAGGCAGGCAGAACGGAGCACTGGATTGAACCGCGGGCGGCTGTGTGGGGGTGAACGGGCGCTTTGGAGGAGCTGCGCCGAAAGGAAGCCACCCTGCCGGCTTCTTTGAAGCAGTTTCTTCCTGGGCTGGTGGAGGAGCGAGAGAGCGACTGAGAGAGGAACGAGGCAGACACCTGAGGGATGAGGCTGAGGGAGGGAGGGAGACACCTGAGGGATGAGGCTGAGGAAGGCAGGGCCGAGAGGCGGGGCTTCTCAGCCGTCCTGCAGGGACTTGTCCTGAGCCGCGGAGACAGCCGTGGGCCACCACCGCCCAGCGCTCAGTTTTGAAGGCGCTCCTCAGCCAAGCGCATTCCTGAATCTGCAGCTGAAACCCTCCGTTTTAAATGTCCCAATAGGAGAGAATATCTGTCGCTCAGGGTTACAATGAGGAGGCATTGGCGCTCCCTGAACTTGGTGGTTTGCTGGCAGACGTTTTATTACCCGACTAGGTAACATCATCAGATGTTACCTAGTCAGGTAATGAAACGTCTACAAGCAAACCACCAAACTTCGGACTCCCCCCCCCCCCCGCTCCTTGAAAAAGTGTTTCTGCGTGAAACTGATCCCTGGTACAAAAAAGGTTGGGGACCACTGATGTAGAGAACTCTCCCTTCACACTCTCAAGGACCCAACTATAATTTCAGGCCATGAAATCTATCATACAGAGTTCTGAAAAGTATAAAATATGGTGTCACACAGCGTTCCTAAAAATCTCCCACCCAAATCTTGATTACTTTCCATAGCTATTGGCTGTCCTGATTGAATGCAGTGGATAAAATCCATCTTTAGCAAATTTGATTATACAGCATTCCTTTTAGATAACTGACTTTTCCTTAATCATACAGTTTTTCCCTCAGAGTTTGTCATACATCTCACTGGATAATTATAATATTGCATGATGTATTTCCTCTAATCAATGGTTTTCCTATTGAAAGGAAAATTTTGAAAAAACAAAATTAACTTATTTTGGGGTTTTTCCAAAAGTTTCAATAGCAAAATAACTAGAGTATCACTAATGGTAAATGGTTTCCCTTCTCTGCTTTTTAGGATTTCAGAAGGCAATGGTGAAAACTATGAGTGCTGCTTTGAAAATTCCTCATTTCGGTTATTGTGATGAGGTTGACCTCACTCGGCTCATCCAGCTGAGAGAAGAGTTGAAACCTTTAGCAAAAGAACGGGGAATTAAACTCACTTTTATGCCCTTCTTTCTAAAGGTGAGTTAGAAGTTGCTTCCACTAGCCCAGTAGCCAAATATTGTGGCACAGGATTATCAAATTTGTCAGGAAACATTCTAGTCCCTTGGTTTTTTTTTATGATGTTGACTAACACGAGTTTGATGGACATATGAAGGTACAAAGTTTGTCTTAACTGTACCTTCATATGTCCATATAACTCATGTTAGTCAACAGTGAAAACAACCTTGGAGGAAAATTGCCAAATCTGCTTGTATTCTGCATCACTGGTTTGATGTGATTTCATATCTGTTCTTCATAGGCATTTCAGACATATTCTTTCAAGGTGCTTTGCAGGATGATACTAAAATATAGCCATATATGCACAGTCCAATTAGCATTGATTATAAGTACCAGGATAAGGTACTTTTTGAAACAACTCAATTATCCTAGACAGATTTTCGTAGAAAGATCATTTGATTTCAGTGGAGCCTACTCCACAAAACTAGAATGATCTAGATCAGCAGTCCCCAACCTTTCTGGCAATAGGGACTGGTTTTGTGGAAAACAATTTTTCCACAGACTGGGGGTGGGGTAGGGGTGGAATGGCTTCACATACAACTTAGGTCTTGTGCATGCACAGATGAAAGTTCATTTGCTTGCCTGCCACTTGCGTGGCCCGGTTCCTAACAGACCGTGGGCCAGTACCGGTCCATGGCCCTTGGATTGGGGACCCTGATCTAGATAATGCAACTCTTTGCAGATATCGGTCTGGAATTTTACTGTGGAAGGACAGGAATCATGAAATGTAAAAAGGGATGAATCACCCAAACTTACTTGAAATGTTTGTTTTATGGGATGGGACAATAGATAGGGTATAATGAAAACCATCAAATCTTCATGAGCCTTCAGTTTTACAGAATAATTAGGAATCCCAACCCAGAAAAATAAGAGGGTTATGGCCTTCATGTGAACTAGCCTAATAACTACAACATTAAACATAAAACTAATCAAAATTTCTGAGAGCCAGTTTGGTATGGCGATTAAAAGTATTGGATTAGAAAATGGGCAATTGTGAGTTGTAGTTCTGCATTAGGCCTAAAGCCACCTGAGAGTTTTGTGGTAGTTGCTCTCTGTCAGCCTTAGGAAGGAGGCAATGTTACATCATTTCTGAAAAGGTTGCCAAGAAAACTACATGGACTTGTGTGGGTAATTACCAAGAGTCAAGAGTGATTCAAAGACACAATCTCCCCCAAGTTACTAACCCAGGCGGACAAAAGAAACCCTGTGTGCTATAAACTAGAACATATGTTTAAGAAAACTTGTACCATCTACAATATTTCTATGGTAGGTCCACCTGGAAAATACCCTTCTCATACCAAAAGTTAGCAGTCAAGGAGCTAATGTCGTACCTTTGCTTTTCTCTATTTCCTTTCCCTCCTCTCCCTCTCATACACATACGGACTCCAAAATTGTGTAAACGCGTAATACGTTCTTTTTATATGTTTAACAGGCTGCTTCTCTAGGCTTATTACATTATCCTGTTCTTAATGCTTCCGTGGATGAAAACTGCGAAAACATCACATACAAGGTTTGTATATGATTTTTAAAAAGTAGTTTCTTAATACCTCCTCAATTGGTCCAGCTTTGTTTCATTTTTGGTAAAGGTACATTTAAATGTATCCTGCAGATAGAAAGCAAAACACTGAAAGATTTCAGGTCTTTTTCCTACAGCCTAATTGCTAGCAGTATGTCTCTATTTTAATACTCACCGAAACCTTATTCTTCCTGCAGGATTCTCTGAAACTGCGTGGATTCAATATGAGAGCAGTTCTCTGGCTTTAATTTTGTAGGAATCCACCACTTAATTGTTGTGGCCTTATTTGTTTTATTTGTCAATCGCTTACAAGATAATAGATATAACTATAAACATGAGGCCTTATTCCTTTTAGGAATGTAGCCCCCGGGAGGGGGCATTTGAAAATCCCTTGGAGCCTCTGGTTCAAGCAGACATGGGGGAAAATTTGACTAAAATAATTCCTCTCACAAGGAATTACTCTTAATGGAAATGTGGCCTTTGTATCGTGCTTGTTATATCGAATAATAACCTTCGTGTAATTTGCCGGACGGTGCAGGTCTAAAGGGGAAAAGCTGATTTGGGAGCCCATGTGGGCATGTGCGTAACTCCTGGTGGCCTCTTTTTAAATCAGATACATTTTTCCCTGGGGTCACTTTACAGATGCAGAGGGCAGCAGGGTAATCTTGAGAAAAATCACAGCTGCTTGATGGGGTTGCTGACAGGCGCTATGTGAGCAGTCCAATATTTTCCAAATCACCTTTTTTTCCCGTTAAAATCTGATTTCCTCACAGATAGTCCTTGACCTATGAATGGTCACATAGCAGTCATTCAAAGTTACGTTGGCTTTGCCTTGGGGCTACTTAGGACCCGGATTCAAAGTTTGGATGGTTGCCGTCCCCCACCTCCATGATCACATGACAATTCCAGGCAGTCGCAATAGAGTCTCATTTACAGCTGTTTGCAGATTCCTATAGTCTCCAGAATGCATTTTACAATTTACAGTTGCTGTGATTTGGCATATTCAGTAATACCACACCCATAACAAACAATTGGTTCATGTAACAACTGCAGCATTCGCTTAATGACCAGTGTCAGAAAAAGTTTTTTTGTGATGGCCTGTTTTACAACCGTCACGATGTACGTTAAGTACAGGTTTTATAACTTATAAAAGAATAATGGAAGAGTGATTAAATGAGAAATACTTTATTTTGCCAAGAATGAAGAGAGCTACTTCTATTACCAACCAATGCAATACATTTTTTCCATGCATTTCTAGGCTTCTCACAATATTGGAATTGCCATGGACACAACACAAGGCTTGCTCGTTCCTAATGTGAAAAATGTCCAGGCTTGTAGTGTGTTTGAGGTTGCTTCAGAATTAAATCGCCTTCAAAAATTGGGCTCAGCTAACCAGTTGGGAACAAATGAGCTCACAGGGGGAACGTTCACACTTTCCAACATTGGCACAGTAAGTTAAACAGCATGTAACATTAAACTGATGAACTGGAATATCATGGGGGCATAAATAGTAACAAACGGGAGGAATTGAAGTAATTTAGGAGAGTCAAAGGATAACGTCATTGCTTCTGGGAGAAGGTATCTACTGGGTTTCCTTTAATGGTTGAGTCTATAGAATGAATTCAAGGACAAGAAGTGGGTCTATTGTACCCCAAGTGCCTTGTCACTTATTTCCCCAATTATATTTAAACAAAATGGACGTTAGCTATATTGGTTAGAACTTCTGGGAGTTACAATTTGTCTGGAATGTTCCAGATTGAAAAAAGCTGTTTTAAAACCTGCCAAAAAGAGACATTACTAAAAGTGTACTGATTTTCAAAGGTGTTAACTTCCCTTTTTGCTTCCTAGATTGGTGGCACTTATGCAAAACCTATGATCCTTCCTCCTGAAGTAGCTATTGGCGCTCTGGGAAAAATACAGGTATTTTCACTGTGAATTATGAAAGATCAGTTTGAAATACTCCCTAATAAATGTTTGTGTTGGTTTTCTAATATTTTGTAGTCTTACACAGTGTTTATGTTAAATCATGTTTATTGACACATGTAGGTTAAAGTTCTTGTTTGCTACAGATGACCTATCAAATGGTTATTAACAACAGAATAGCCTTTTCTTTTGATGTCTTATATATGAGTATTGTCCTAAGAAAAGGTTTGAATGTGTTCTCAGAATACACATTTGAGATTTAGGGACCCCCATCAAAATATAATGACTTATATCCTAATTTGAATATTGAATTTTTTAAATGTGTATTCTTAATTTGTGGGGATGACAAATCCCAAACATATTACTCATATTAATATAAAATCTATTATTTTTAATGCAATAGGAGGTGATATCTTGGATACTTAATAGTTTAAGAGCTCACCATTAGTAATCACTTTCAATTGACCCAAGTCTCCACTCCTAAATTATTTTCACATACATTGTGTTGTAAGATCCATTACACTGTTAAAATGACTTATAAATTTAACTGCTGTTAATGCTTCTTCATATGCTTTGAAAACTTGAGTAAGTACCTTGTAATTATCCTATCAGTAAGGTTGATTGGGTGTGGGCAATTCTCATGAATTAATCCACTGCTTTTCTTAATAGCATTTTGTTTTGTTTTTTAATTTCTAGGCCCTTCCTCGATTTAATAGTAAAGGTGAGGTATTTAAAGTACAAATAATGAATGTGAGCTGGTCAGCTGATCACAGAATCATTGACGGTGCAACCATGTCTCGTTTTTCTAACTTGTGGAAATCTTACTTGGAGAATCCTGCTTCCATGGTGATGGATCTTAAGTAAAGAAGACAACATCTGGATGGCTTATTTTAATTCCAAAAGTGCAATCAGGCTACTTAAGCTAGCAAGTGCCATTAAAACTGACTTCATACTTCAGAACTGCATTGCGTTTGCTAGATCTTTTAGATCCTGGCTCTGTGTCTTGATTATCTGTTACATTTTTGCCTAGTTGAATCGCTCAGTGGTAAACTATTTGTTTAGAAGTTATGGTATGACTCCTTCACAAGGTGGCGGAAACCTATGGTGGCAAAATAGTGCAATATTCCACTTACCGTATTATCAGATGGGGGCTGCTAATAATACTTATGGGACTCTAAAACATCTTACGTCATTCACAAATTCACAAATTCATAAATTGCGACCTGATTAGAAATGAAAGTCCCTGGATGAAAATATTAACCAAATGTTAACTATTTCTTATGCAATTAATTCACTACAGATGATATTCAAATAAAATGTTTTTAATGATTATTTTATTAAAGATGCAAAGGTTCCATTTTTTGACATATAGTGCTAACTGTTCTCTTTTTTTCTTTTTTCAATATTCTTTTCAAATATTCAAGTTTTGTATCAGACATTCTTCATTACTGAAATGAATATGTACACTAGAAGAATGGCAAACCCTGGACCATGGATACTCCCTCCCCACCCAAATTTGGAGCTGGCTTTTACAGCATAGACATAAGATCCAAGATTGCATTAAGCATTTTTGTAATGTATGAAGCTGCTAACAGTTAATGTAGAGATCTTTGAAATGTCTAATAGTAGTTTGTAAACCATTGTTTTTCAAACTTAGCAACTTTAAGTTGTGTGGATTCACATTTTAAAGTTGCTAAGTTTGAATAACACTATTGTAAACCCACCATTTTCATAGACAAAATTTTGCTATGGAGCCATAGATGAAAAGCTTTTTCAGGTGTAAAAGATGCTGTAAAAACTGAAATAGGATTAAAATCTATATACTCCAAAAGTGGATATGATTACTAGGGGGCCTTAAAAAATTACCACATGATTTTAACAGGATATTAAAAATTTCAGAATGAAAGGTTGTGGTGAATGTTAATTTAAGGAAATCTATTGTAAATGTGTAAATATATACATATATATGTTTATTTAAGATCCTTGTGATATATAATCTGAAAGGGGAACATATCTGGATCTGGGCGTTTCTCTATATTCATTTTGAAGAACAAGCAGAAGAAATGTAAAACTGATAAATCAATAGATCTGTAAGGAATTTTATATAACACATGAACACATATATAAATTGAACATTTATTTGTTTTTGTTTAATAAAGCATATTTTAATAAATCCCACTATTTACAAACTTTGTAGCTTATCTGAGGTGCTATTGTGTGACTGGATCCTCTGGGGTTTTCCAAAATGGTCAATATTGACCCCAAGGATCAATAGGATTATCCAAGGTTGATGTTATTCTAAAAGTATTAAATTATTTTCATATAAATGTTAATATGAACTTCAATGAGCTGAAAAATTTGTGGACACCTGTTCTAAATGCACACATCCATGTAACCAGTTACAGTTTCCCTCATTGTCCTCATGGGAAAGCATCATTGGCAAACACAAGTCCTTACCTTTCAATCTTCCTTTGAACTTTAGGCTCCTATTAAAAACCGTAAAATCTTTGGAAGTTATAAAAAAAAAAATCATTCCTTCTTGAATTGGAGCTTAACTAAAATTTCAGGAATGGATTCTTAGTATTTACTGTTTTACAGTGCTGTGGCCTGATTTACAATAATCTTAGTAATTGTTACCAGCTGCAATACGTTGTTTGGGCTGAGGGAAAGTTTTAAAGAAAACAAAGATTTGTGGTGGGGGATTGAAGTATTTCCAGATGGTTGCTGGACCAATGGATCATTTTGCCAGGATTGTCAGTAATAGTTTCTTTGATTTGTAAGTCACGCTTATGCAATCAGTAATGGCACTGAGCCACCTTGTGTTCTCTGGGTTCCTTCACATGTCTTCAGTTTCTCCACTATCGGAGCCTTTTCTGGTGATTCATTTCTTCACACAAGTCCAAAATATATAAAATGTAGTTCAGTTCTTGATGCTACCATTGACTAGCCTGCTTCACTTCATCTAGTTTTCAGTCATTTGTTCTTGTGGACCAAAACCTCTTTGCAGTTTTCTCCAGCATCTGAAGAAAATTGAGAATTTCATGATCTCCAAGAAAGCTTTAATTTTGCTTCAGCCTTCCTGATGGTCCAGGTTTCACAAACTTCTGTTAGAACAGAGGGACACTCTGGTCTTGTCTTTAATAATCTCTGTCAGTATGATGTCTATTCTTTAACAGTTTGTCTAGAATCTAGATCTATTGCATTTTTTCCCTCAGGCAGAACTTTATTTTATGGCTGCAGTCACTCTTTGTGAAGGTTGTTAACTACTTGAACTTGTTCCTGCCAATGTCATGGGTTAAAATTAGAATCTAGCTGCCGTGACATTTTGCTCTGTTACAACTGACAGGAAGGGTTTAATGACTTTAACAAAGCGATCAAGATTCATGACAAAACTCTTACTGTACTGAACTCTCTGGGACATGGAAAACCATCTGCGGTTTCAAGTAAGTGGTTGATAAAATCATTTAATTCACTCCTGGAGGGGGTAGTGAATTGGCAAGGAGTTTGTTGTTGCTTTGCAGCTAAAATTGCGAGCTGCTTTTCAAATGGCTGGTGGTTCCCGACTTATTTTGCACAGTCAGGCTTTGTCCAAAAGCTTCTGGCAGACAACAAGAGGTCTGCATGCAAGACTCTTCAGAATAGGCTCTGATGTTAATGGTGCATTAATGGTTTGTCCTTCCTATAGATGTTTCTCCTGGATGTTAATTAAAAATCCAGAAATTGAAGGCAATTGTCAATCTAATGCGGGTTTCCTCTTTTGCTCACGACACTTCTGGATATCATGCCAAAAAGTGAAAAGTGGGTGCTGAGTTTGAATGCGGAAGAGCTATGACTGAAACAACTGTTTGTGTTGGCTCATTTGTGGCTATTAAAGACCTGTGGGAAGTCAGAATCCAGAAAATTACCGAAGAGCTTCGGAAGCAAAAAGAATTCAGTCAGAAGGCTGCAGGGAGGTAGGTACTCAGTATTAGGGATCCTTTGGAGGAGAAGTATGCTCACATTTCAACTGGGATCTCCCTGTGATTTTTGGGAGTTCTCCAAGAGTGAAAAACAGCAAATGATTAGATTAATTAGTAATTATTAATAAGGATGAAGTAAAATGTATATATGTATAACAAGGATAAGTTGGATGTATTGTGTTGTATTCGCATAATTAAAATTAAAAATAAATTTTAAAAAAAAATAAAAGAAAAAGAAAAACAGCAAATAGAGGTAGTAGATTTCTTTAAATGTTCCAAAATACTGCTACTCTGTTCTGCAAGTAGTAATAGTAACACATTCCACTATTCTGCTACTAAAGTCTCTCTATGTCAAGGCTAGCCAATCCCAAGATGATACACATTTCAGTAGTAAATGCAGTGCAGCATGGTGATTTAGGAGCTTTTGGGTGTCTGAGAAACAGTGATACTAACTACTTCACTGTTTGATAGCACAATTGTTGATTGTGCTGCTTGATCAATTCCGAACTCCAAACGTTTTAAAGCATGATGGAAGTTGCAGCAATAAGGAAAATGCATCTTTAAAGCTTTACAACTTTTACTTCTAGATTGACAATTATTTGGGAAGAGAGGGCCAGTCTGGCCAAGCTGAAAGGCAAAGTAATCAATGAAAATGGAAGGGCTGTTTTAAGGATTGAGCAGGAAGAATGGCAGGTATTTGTTCGAAAACTACTAAGAGATTATTTTTCATTCTTCACTTTGCTTCAGTGTTTTTTTTAATCAGTTTAATGTTCAGCTGCTCCCCATTTCCCGGAGAACTACAAGAGCCATTTGTTTTGGACAAGAGCCCTTGAAAACATGTGGAAAAAAACTGCATCACTTTTGCTAAGTATAGCTAGGGTATGATTAATGCGAATTCAAACAATGCAATATTTGATTTAGTGCGAATTGTAAATTGATATCAGGTTGGGTATAATGGCACCCAAAAGTCAGTCCATGAGAATCTAGATTGTGAGCAGCTAAGGCTAATACATGCAGAAATGTTCATCTTTGTATGTGTAAAATGGGAAAAAATATTCTGTCAAAGGAAAACAGAACAAGTTCAAAAAAAAAAAAAAAAAGGCTTGTTAAAGCAAAAATGTGATGTAGTTGAGCTATATAAATGTCATAGCAACATTAAAATAGGACAAGATATTGGAATGCCTAAATCTACAGTGCAAATTATTATAAAACATGCATCGGAAATTTTAAAAAGGGCAAAGTGGCATTACCTTTTTGTTGTTTGCAAACATCTACTAGGAGGTTGAGAGATAATATTTTAATCAATGTAAGATTACTTTTAGGAATAATATTCAAAAAAATGGTTTTTAGATATTTTCTATAGCCACTATAACTTTGTTAATACATTTGAATTGTAGATATATTTTTTCTATTCTTTACTGTAAACATTTATTAACATATATATAATAATTTATTTGAAATTGTTCATTGCCTATTTCTGTCAAGGGAGAACCAATTGCCATATTTTCCATAGAAACACCAGTGCAAATAGTGCAAATTCAAATAATGTGCCATTTCATGGGATTCATTAACTGCATAAATCAAGATCTAGCTGTATTAAAGATTTGATTTGGGCAATGGTTTTAAACAGCTGAACTGATGTAAGATCATCTTTATATGCAATACTAAACCAGTGTTACTATGAAAATTATTTAATAAATTTCTTTTCTGTTCCTTTATTTTTTATCTCTCTTTTTGCTTGGTTGTGTTTCTTAAATATGTTTTTTTTTTAAAAGCCTGAGTTGGATATAACTCAGTGTATAATAATCACTCTATGGCAGCATTGTGTAAGCGTTTTTTTTTTTATAAGAGACTATCTGTATTTTTACACCCCAGGTTAGGTACACTGTACTTTGTGTCAGTGTCTTTAGTTTCTAAAACTGATTATTGCAACCTTTTAATACACAGTTTGTCCTTAACTTACAAACATACTTTTTATTGACTGTTTGAATTTCCAATGGCACTGAAAAAAAGTAATTTTTAACTGGTCCTCACACTTCAGGCTGTCACAGCATTCCCCAGGTTCATGTGATCAAAATTCAACTTAGCAGCTGGCATGTATTTACAATGGCTGCAGTGTCCTGGGTCACCATTTGCAACCTTCCCAGCCAGCTTCCAATAAACAAAGGCAATGAAAAAAAAAATCAGATATGTCTAACAAGGGGTGCCCAATCTGTGAGTCGTGGCCCACTACTGGTCCGCAACCTATTCACAACTGGGCCACGTGAGTGGCTGGCTAGTGCAAGTGTGCGTGCACACATGCACAGCCCCAGTCACACGAGCGTTGCAGGGGCTCGCTTGTCCAAGTGGGCGCTCAGGGCATCCCTTGTGCAGGCACTTGGGGCCCCACTCGTGCGAGCGTCGTGAATGCTTGTGGCCTCACTCGTGTGAGCACTCGACCTAACTCATGCAGGAGCTCACAGCCCCACTTGCGCGAGTGTTGCAGGCACTCAGGGCCTCAGTCACATGGCACTTGGGGCCCCATTTACACGGGCGTCGTGGGCATTCACGGCTTCATTTGTGCAAGTGCTCATGGCCTAACTTGCATTCCCTCATGTGAGCAATGCATGCTCATGCACGCACACACATCTGCCCCTCCCACAAAACCACCCCCTTTCCACCCTCCCCCCTGCTCTGGGCTGCCAACCGATAAAGGTTGGGGAATTCTGCTCTAACAACCATATGATTCACTTAACTGTTATGAGTTACTTAACAACCATGGCAAAATGGTTGTAAAATTGGGGGGAACTCATTTAATAATCATACCACTTAGCAACAGGAATTCTGGTCCCAATTGTCATAATTGAGGACTGCCTGTAGTATTGTTGATCTGGTATACTTAGAGACTCCATCCCTTTTTATTTTTTCTCATTCAAATTTAGACTTTACCTTCTTGCTTACTGAAACTGAATTACCTGCAGGAATGGCAACTTCACAGAACTAATTTGATCAAAATCCCTTACTACGTTGGTCGCTTTCAAAATCTCATTGTCCTAGATCTGTCTCGAAATTCCATTGCAGAAATTCCTAGGGAGATTGGTGAGTTTCATGTCAACATTCCTTCTTGTGATTGCCTCTTCGGGTTGGGTTCTGAATTAGAAAGTTCCTTAAAATTATGGAAGTACTTAATTTTAAAAAGTTGTATTTTGAAAACATTTTGAAAAATTCCTTCTTGATAAACAGCTCAAGCTTGAAAGAAATTGAGAGCACTACTCTGTTCTGTTTAACTTACTCTTTGATTTTTTTTGTTCCTTCAAAACATATATTATGTTTTATAGCATTAAGATATATTTTTACTCTATTCCAGAAGATTCCCATGATTATCTAATAAAATTAATGCAACAGTAAAACAGCGAGTCTTGAAACATTATAAATATTATAAATTTAATTTAATATGTACTTTTTGTAACAGTCCACTTTCATCAGATATTGACAAGATTATTTATCAGCAATATCTGCATAGCCGGATCACTGTTCTCTAGGTGATGCCTATCAATGAGTTAACAAAGGAGAACAAAAGACTACTAGTCTGAATAAACGACACACATAAAAGTATATAACAATATACATGTTGCCACAATTATTAAACCTCAAAGGGATGTTAAAACAGAATTGCCTCACAGTCTTTTGAAATGTTAAGAAAATTGTGGTGAAAAGTACCTTCATAGGAACGTGTTCTGGAGCATGGGGGCTGCTAGCATAGCACTACTTTCTGGTCCATTTTTATTGAGCAGAATTTCCTGTTGTTTTTCACTTCCCTTGTCCTCAGTTGACTTTCAATTTTATCTTTCGAGAAGTGTGTTTGTGTTGAGATGCTTTAAAGAAGAGACATTGGGAATGAATTGGTGGGTTTGTTCAGCATGAGATAAAGATTTCTGACATTTGGCAACCTTCTGAAGGAAGCAGCTGCTTCTGGAACAAAGGAATAATTTTTTTTTTTCTGAGTTTTATTCTGTTCTAGCCTGATTTCTTTAGTGTCCTAAGTCAGGGGTCCTCATCCCCAGGGAAGCCCACTACTGGCCTATTTGAACTGGGCTATGCAAATGGCAGGTCGATGCATGTGCGTGCACGCATAGCTCTTGTGTGAGGGAGGCCCGGCACGCATGCACACCCACACACAGCTCAACTGTGTACATACGCATGCGCCAGCCTGTCATATGCCCAGTTCCTCTCTTCCCACCCCCCAGCCAGGTCGCAAAGCCGCAAAGCTTGGGGACCGCTGTCCTAAGTAACCTTATTTGTATTGAAACTACAGCTTACAGAATATGTTATCTCTTGGCCTGAGTTTGGAAATTCTGTATTCTAACTCTGATGCATCTGAAGGATACCAATTGAGTTATTTATTATATGAAATTTATAGAGCCACCCAATTTCTTCAACTTAGAGTGGCTTACAATAAAAAAATTTTTTTTTTTTTAAGAAGGTTAAAAATAATGGAAACCAAAAGAACAAAACCTAATTATGCAAAACATCCAGTGAAGACAAGCCCCATCCAAGAATGGAGGAAGAGCAAGTCTTTAAGACTTATTTAAAGGACACCAGAGTTGAGAAAATGAAAACTTCTGATGGGATAGGTAGCTGAAGAAAATTATGCAGATTATTGAATATTTGTCATTGGCTGGATCAATAATTATGTAACCAGGAAGTGAAATTGGTTTCTAATATTGGTTCTTTGGCAATCTGACATTTCTATGAGTGGTTGAAGTAATGTTAGATTTCTAAAATGAGTCTTAAAAATCTGTAGGAGCTTTCTCTTTAACATTAATATTCTTGATGTTTTTTGTTTCCCTCTAATTTAAACCAGCTTGCTTCTTTAATCTGATTTACTCCTATAGGTCAATTGTCAAATCTTCAGGAGTTGATCCTCAGTTATAATAAAATTAAGTTGGTTCCTAAAGAATTAGGCAACTGCGCTGGCTTAGAAAGATTGGAACTGGCAGTAAATAGAGACATCTGTGACCTTCCCCATCAGGTAAGGAAATACCATAGTCTTCCTCTCTATGTTCATAATAACAAGATGTGGTTTAAATGTTTAAAATGAGTTGTAATAAATTACAATAATAAATGACTAGCTAATGAACGTTCTTTCTTTCTTTTTGCTCCCTTATGTGAACATACTAGTTTGCCTCATCAGTCATGCAAAATATATCACTGACATGGAGGCATCCAATGGCGATTTTTCTTCCTTGTAACTTAAAGCAGCTGCATGTATAGCCACACAATAAGAGATGTCAGTGCTGATAAATTACATCACCTGTGTACTCAAATCAAGAGCCTCACTGCAGTTTTATACAATAAATTAAATTTAATGGTCCCGCTGGTGTTTTGAATCTCTTCACCCAGACTGATTAAAAAACCTTTATTTATTTTTTCCTTGTTCACTTCCCTCTCGATCCCTGAACAAAGCATGACAGACATTTTGCCAGAATGCAGAATTTCCCACTGTTCCATTATACCTGAAGCTGATATCATTTGATGAAATGTGGTTCATCAAAATGAATCATTGCTAAGATTCTTTATTTCTTTTTTTTTTTTTTAGCTGAGCAATTTGAAGAAGCTTTCTCACCTAGACCTGAGCATGAACCGATTCACTACTTTCCCACCAGTTATCCTAGATATGCCTAACTTGGAGTGGCTAGATATGGCGAGCAACAGGCTGAAAGAAATCCCTGGCAATATTGACAAGTAAATGCAATGATAAGAGATGTAATTCATGTCATTGTGATTTAATTATCAAAGATCTTGTAGTTTTAATTTCATTGACAAAAACAAAAGGTTAGGGTTGTTACTTACCTAATGAAGGAAATACAATATAATTCAGGCAAGCAGTTGAATTATATTTATCCTGTAACACTCATAAGGCATAAAGGCTTTTTAAAAATATGATCTAAAAATCTATTTAAGCAGATAAACTGAAATGTATACCATGTGGATCCCATTCTTAATTTTAACCAATTTCAAGTAAGCACAGAAATTACCATGGAAATTGACTGATTCAAATAATTTCCATAGTATTTTAATTTATCTCATAGTTTTGAGCATTTGGTGTCCCCAAAAAAAATCTTTCAAGTAAATAGTTATTTGTTTCACAGATAAGGAAATTACGGTTGAAAAATATACCGGTTACTAAAATTTAGATAGTGCTCAATTTAAAACCAGTCATTCTGGGTTCAGATCTTTATCTGATGGCATTTACAATTTTAATAATATTTGGGTCATTGCTGTTCAAAATACAAAAAATGCATTTAGAGAAGGATGAGCAGATAAACGACAATTATTTTGCTGAGAACTTCTGTTCGTATTTTTTTCCCATGGAAATTTACAGATGTACTAATATTTTTTACTGAGTTGGAATAGTTATAAAGTACTGTCAACTCCACCCAACAAAAACAGAAAGCAGGAAAGTATGATTCTCTGGCAGGGAGTAGGACTTTTAAGACTCCAAATTCCTTAAGGTTATCACATTTTACTTTTGTACTCCAGGTTTACTGCCAAAATGAGAAATCTCCACAGTAAGACAAACTAATACATATAAAATCTTCAGTTGTTTTTCTGACTAATTAATAGACCTGTTTGACTTCACAGAGCAGAAAACTTACATACTTTGTGGCTCCAAAGGAATGAAATAACCTGCTTGCCTGAATCCATTTCTAATCTTAAGAATATGACCACCCTTGTTCTCACCAGCAACAAATTGCAAGATATTCCTGTTTGCCTGAATGACATGCTAAACCTAAGGTAAGGGGGAAAAAACCTTCTTTGCTACAGTTGAAAGATTAAGTGCTCTAGATAAATGTAACTAGCTTTGTTATCCACCGCTGATATTTTTAGTCTTCTTTTCAAAACAATACTGTCAGATTCGTCGCTCGTAACAGTAACTGTGCCATGCTGAATGCATCATTAATCTCACCTCCATTCTCTTCACAATATCTGAGAACTGACATACTGTACTGTCCTAGGGAGCAATGATATGTACAGATTCCTCAGCATCTATTAGAGCAGCGGTTGCTAACTGGTGGGCCACGGCCCACTGGTGAGCCATGGAAAAATTTTGTGGGCTGCAGAAGAAATGGCCTCCAAAAGCAATTAATCTGGGCCCCGCAGTTCTCGTGCCTCCCGGCTCTTCGAGGGACCCCGGAGTCAGGTCCCTGAGATGCACGCGCCAACCAGCTCCCACACAGCGGGTGGCGGCAACAACAGTCCCCTCCCCTGGAGCCCACTGTTAGCTCTCCCCATTAGTTCTCTAGTTTTGAATTGCTCCCGCCTCTGTTTCCCCCCCCCCCACGCCCACGTGCAGGCAGGCAAGGAAAGGGAGACAGAGCCATGTGCAACTCTCTGCTTTTTCAGCCCTCACTGCCTCTCCCAACATCAAAGCCTCGGAGATGCAGGCAAAGCTGCCACAGCGGTAGCGCCCTGAGTTGCTTGCTTCTCCACTACTGCCTCCTCCTCCTCCTCCAGCACCTCCTTCTCTGGGTAGGGCGATTCTTAACAAACTGAGCATGCTAAGGCAACTCGGACGCTACCGCTGCAGCGGATTTGCCTGCATCTCTGAGACTTCGATGTTGGAAGAGGCAGCAAGGGCTGGAAAAGTGGAGACTTCGTCTCCCTTTCCTTGCCTACCTGCACATGGGCGTGGGGGGAGGGGGAGGGGGAAGCAGAGAGAGAGAGAGGCAGGAGCAATTCAAAACTAGAGAACTAATGAGGAGAGCTAACAGTGGGCGCTGGGGGAGGGGACTATTGTTGCCACCGCCCACTGTGAGTGTGAGCTGATTGGCACGTGCATCTCAAGAGACCTGACTCTGGGTCCCTCGAAGAGCCAGGAGGCACAAGAACTGCGAGTGGGAGCGTTTGGTGATTTCGAAGAACTCCTAGACCGCGGTAGATTGGCTAAAGCAAGCGAAGTGTCCCCAGGGACACCTTTCTTTGCCTGTCTCCAGGTGAGGCTGGAAGAGCCCACCCACCAGCTTTTCCTCGGTTGCAGATCTGAGTTCTCTCAATCCTCCACCCGGAATCTGAAAGGAGCTCCCACTTTTTCTCCCTTTCCTCCCCTCAATTAATCACTGAGGGTAGCAGTCCTTCTGTAGGCAGAGAAGCCCCTGGAGTGGCACCAAGGGGTGCCACTCCCCCAAAGAGAGCAAAGCCCCCTTTCTGCCTCTGCTTCTCCCAGTGGCAGTTGCCCCGAGGCTCCTCAGCTCCACTCTTCCGTCTCTTTGGAAGGTGCAGGTGGGGGGAGGCTTCCAGCCCAGAATGTTTTATTTTGTAATCATGTTTTTGTTAAATTAAATAAGTGCGTATATATGGTATTCAGCTTTGCTCAGGTATTTTCCCACGTCATTATACTTGTGCTTTTAAAGTTGTAGCAACATTTTGGCAGAATCTCATCTGCCATCATAAGGCTTCTGTATTCTGTAATACAGAAGCCTGATGATGGCAGATGAGATTCTGCCGAAACGTTGCTACAACTTTAAAAGCACAACTATAATGACGTGGGAAAATACCCGAACAAAGCTGAATACCACACACACACACACACAAATATTAAATTTATATTTAACATATTTTTTTTATATTAAATATATTAGCTTTTTAAAAAAATCATATTAGTGGTCCTCGGGATTTAAAAGTATGGGTTTGGTGGTCCCTGAGGTCCAAAAGGTTGGTGACCCCTGTATTAGAGAATATTGGAGAGATGAAGGAAATATAGAACTGTAATAGCATATGACGTTCTAAATTATCTTCTGCTTTTCTTGGCATGGTTTTTCAGAAGTGGTTTGCGATTGCCTCCTAAGAGAAAGTGACTGGCCCAAGGTTAACAAGTTGGCTTTGTGTTTAAAGCAGGATAGGAACTCATGGTCTCCCGTTTCTAGCCTGATGCCTTAACCAATATACCTAACTGATGTTTGGGCTAAAGATACAATGGTTCCAATTTCATATGGTACAAAATTGTAGTTAATGTGAAAATAATGATCAGATGGTTTTGTTTAGTGTATTCACAGTTTAAAATCTCATCTGAATTTGATACACTATGGTTATCTTTAAGTTTTGTTAAAACAAGCTGTGACAATTTGGAGTCTACAACTCTACCATACAATTTTTATCTAAATTTTAATTTAAAATGAGAGCTTTTTTTAAAATTCCAGTGAAGTTTAAAAGTCAACACTAAATCAGATTCTCATATTTCTTAGTTAAATACAGACTTATTAACATTAAACCATTATTCATTATTCCATGTGAAATGAAACTTAGATTCCAAAGAACACAATATATTAACACTGCCTTCACTGAGGCTTCATAGCAGTTGTATTACCAATATTTTTACCTAAAATCAAATTAAGTTTGAAAGAGTGTTTCTAGTTTAAGGAATACCAGTTCATTAACTCCATTATATCATATCTAATAGATTTGTCAACTTCAGAGATAATCCACTAAAGCTGCAAGTTACACTTCCTCCTTGCGAGAATCCCGAAGAAGAGGAGGAACAAGAACTCTATGGAATTCAATTCATGCATTTATATATTCAAAAGTCACTCAACGGTGAAGGTACCATTTATTTATGGTTAAAAATAAATACAGACTCAGTGAGGTGAGTGCCCTATTTTTCAAAAACAGAGTTTGCACATAACATTAAACCAGCTTTTAATGATGGTCTGTTAGACAAGCAATAGTGGCCTGGAGGATAGAAAGCATGAAGTCAAAATAGATAGCTTCATAGTAAACAATAACAACCAAACATTGTCTCTTTTAAAAATTTTGAATCAGGCAAATGTGGCCTACAATATATTTAATTGTTAAAGGAAAAATTTGTGATACTAGAATTTCCTTGACATTGTGGCATTTTATAGTGTTTAAAAGTTGAGATCCAAAATATTAAATGAATCCAATCCTACCTTGAATATTAAATAATTCCGATACATGAAGCAGAGCCCTAATACTGCTCACTTTAGCACTAAAACGCATGATTTTAATATTATATGAACCACGCTGCAGTGGTCCAGTGAACAGATCCTTGAAACATCTTGGTTTATATGAGATCACAGAATCCTAGAGAGATTAATCCTTTTGTGCTATGGAACTAGAGGAAAACCTCTCTTCAAGAGAACTGCAGGGGCAGAGTGGACATTGCAAAAAGAGCCCAGGAAAAGAGGAAATTTCACTTGCTGGTGCATAACCATTAAGTACTGTGAAAAATACCATGCTGGCCCACAGTGGGTTCATAGGTCAGTTTAGATAGATAACTTAATATTTTGTAAAAAATATAGATTAAAATACTTCTGAAAACTTCACATAGATATACTAGAAAAACTTTTAAAAAGCTGGTATATTTCTGAAAAAATGTACATTTCTTGGCAAACATTACGTTTTTCTTTCAGAAAATATGGAAAGTGATATTTCAGGTGCTGCTGATACCACTGACTGAAGACCAAAAATAACACCAAGCTGATTTGGTATTACAATTTTTTGGAGCACATGAGAAACTGTAATGCAGATCTGTTGTAACAAATACTTTGAGCTGTCTACTTATTAGTATTTTTCCCCCCCTGATTTAAAGGACGCTGTAAACTATCCCTAGTTTGTTAAACATAATCCTGGATGTTACAAACTTGCAAAAATCCTGGAAGCAGTGAAACTCCTGAAAGACCTCTTGAAGTTTTTAAGTAATTATGGAAGATAATGAAGACTGAGATGGAACAGCTGTCAGAAGAACATTTTCTAATGACACACTTGAGTCTGTATAGCGTTGCAACTCAGCTTCATATCCTCTCCGCTGTAAGTACTCAATCCGACCATGATCAATCAACAGTTTGCAAAGGTGCCCTATCTGTTTTCGTTCATCCACGGTCAGCAGCCTAGAACAAAAAAAGGGGAAAAAACTTTAGAAACTAAAGTTACTAACTTTTGGACACTCTATTTCAAGCAATTCATTGCAAACTTGGTTTTTCCCCTCAAATTTAAATCAAGGGCTAACTGCATAAATGACAAAATATATTTTGGCAGTGAAAATATTTAAAGACAACATATTTTTTCCAAAACCTATTGTTGTTGGAGCATAAGGACGATCACCTTTCTGGAAGTATGCAAGAAGAGTCACTTGGGCAAAAGAAGCAAAAACATTTTTTATGTCCAGAACAATGAGATAACATTTGGAAATGGCTCAGGCAGATGCTATCCTAATTCACGGGAATATTGGAAGGAAGAGGTACAGTACAATCAGATTTGCAAGATTGTATTATTATAATGAATCTCAATAAAAATAGTGCAGTTGATTTCCTAATCTGGTCTATGCAGTGGGGCTGACAATTGTACTCAAAGTGACCACGTACCCTTGAAGACTATCCAAACTGCAGTCAGTATTTATATTATCCTGATCATGTTCATCTACGTTTCTTTTATTTTGTATGCCACTTCTGCTGGTCTCTGTTCTTCTTTCTCTCATGCCACAGGTAGCCCAGCTGGTCATTCTTTTGAAAAAATTAAATTCTACGGGGCCAAGTCCTACTCTTGTAAAGAAATCTTGGCCAACATAATGCCTCCACTCACATCTGTGATGACAACAAAGTGCAATAACAATTCCAGCTATAGGGCTCCAGTTTTCAGCTTCACACTTGCTATGTTTTTGACCAGGACAATCAGTCTTGATGCGTTTAGTGACTGGTCCTTCCTTTTCTTCAGCACGTGAATTCACATAGGTGTCAACTAAACATCTCAGAGCAAGATCTGGGAATAAAGATTATTTTTATATTTAATTGCTGCATGCAGCGTCAGCACACACACATACACACATTAACATAACTGAACATTCTATATAACTTATAATTGGACCATATTATCAAGCATTTTTTTTTACTTTTGCCACAAATGTATTATGAAGCACTCATTTTAAGCTAGCTCTTTGGTATTACTGTTTAAATAAGCATATTTATTGACTTCAATAAGCCTTGAACAAATGTCAACGGTAATCAATGTATGTTAACAAACATGTGGATATGAATAAAACTTGTTGACAAGCTTTCTTCATTATCTTTTAAATGACTATTACATTATTTTCAATACATGGGCAAGCTATACAATTTTACCTGTTGCAGCACCACACAGATGCTTTCCAATTCCTATTAGAGATAGATTCTTTTCCATGAGAAGAGGAACTTTACCTGTCCAAAAAAAAAATCCAAACAGAATTATGACATTCTGCTATCATCCTTGTGAACAACACACTTCATCTTTCCTCAACTTAATTCTTGCCCAATAATTCTCATGATCCCTGAACGTTATTCTTTATTTATTTATTTTTATTTATTTTTATTTGTCAATCGCTTACAAGATAATAGGTATAAGTATATACATAGTTATGAATACATGAAATGGGTACATATAAGAAAAATGAAAGAAACAATAGGACAGGGACGGTAGGCCCGTTGGTGCGCTTATGCACGCCCCCTGCAGACCTCTTAGGAAAGGGGTGAGGTCAATAGTAGACAGTCTAAGGTTAAAGGTTTTGGGGTTTGGGGAAGAAACCACAGAGTCGGGTAGAGTATTCCAGACACTGACCACTCTGTTGCTGAAGTTGTATTTCCTGCAATCAAGTTTGGTGCGGTTAACCTTGAGTTTGTATCTATTGTGTGCTCTTGTGTTGTTATGGTTGAAGCTAAAGTATTCATTGACAGGTAAGTCATTGCAATGTATGATTTTATATACCATACTTAGATCAGACCGAAGACAGCGTAATTCAAGGTTTTCTAGGTCTAGAATTTCAAGTCTGGTGGCATAAGGTATTCTACAACGAGTAGAGAAGTGGAGAACTCTTCTTGTGAAATATTTCTGGACTTTCTCAACTGTGTTAATATCAGATACGTAATGTGGGTTCCAGACCGATGAGCAGTATTCAAGTATTGGTCTAGCAAATGTTTTGTATGCTCTAGTTAGTAGTGTGATATTACCAGAGGAAAAACTACGTAGGATTAGGTTAACAACTCTTAATGCCTTTTTGGCTATGTAATTATAGTGGGCTCTAGCACTTAGATCATTTGAGATGAGTACTCCAAGATCCTTGACAAAGTTTGGATCATCAACAAGGTCTTGACTATTCAGCTTGTATTTTATTTTCTGATTTTTTTTGCCAATATGTAAGACAGAGCATTTATTTGTTGAGATTTGAAGTTGCCATTTGTTTGACCATTCTGATACATAGTCAAGGTCTTTTTGAAGGGTAGCAGTATTGTCTGTGGTGTTGAATAGCTTTACATCATCAATGAAGAGAACGCAGTTGCTCTTAATATGATCACAGAGGTCATTTATGTAGAGTATGAAAAGAGTTGGTCCTAGAACACTGCCTTGGGGGACACCATTGTTGACAGGAACAGAATTTGAAAGGACGCTCCCAAGTTTGACCATTTGTTGTCTGTTTGACAGGAATGCTTCTATCCAGTTATGCAGGTGTCCAGAGATAATGTAAGATTTTAGTTTTAGTCGTTTGTCGTGTACCACTGAATCAAAGGCTTTACAGAAGTCTATGTAGATTGCATCTATTGATTTGCCCTGATCAAGTTGTGTAGTCCATATGTTTTTGCAGTGTAAGAGTTGCAGATTACATGATAGTTTTTTTCTGAAACCAAATTGTTTATTAGAGAGTAGGTTGTTTGTCTCTAAGTGGAGGATAATGGGTTGGTTAATAATTGATTCCATGACTTTACAGGTGATGCAGCATAAAGAGATTGGTCTGTAATTTTCAACTAGGCTGGGGTCTCCCTTTTTGAAGATGGGGATGACCATGGCTTGTGACCATAGTTTAGGCAAGGAGCTGGTCCTGAAAGATTTTTCAAAGATTATGCTTAGAGGTTCAGCTATGGCAGTGGATAGCTTTTTAAAGAAGTAGGCACATATTCCGTCTGGCCCAATAGATAGAGATGGTTTTAGATTGCGTAGTGCTTTTTCAATATTGTCTTCTGTAAGATCGATATGTATTAGATCATTGTAGTTTTCTGTGGTTCGGCTAGGAAATACTGGGCATGATCCATTGCTGTTCACAAATACTGAGCCAAAGAATGTGTTAAAGAGGTTGGCTTTAATGGTGTCGTCGTTGTAGTCTTTACCATTAGGTCCTTTCAGGGGTGGGATGGACCTTGAGTCTTTTACTTTGTTGTTTACAAAATTGTTAAAAGCGCGGGTGGAATTGGTGCGTAGAAGGTTTTCCTCTTGTTTAATGTGATAATTGGTGCATTCAGCCTTTATCTGGTGGCATAAATTTTTGTATCGGCTTTTGAAGTTGGCAACATGATCAGATTTGTTTTTCCGCCAGAGTGTTCTCTTTTTGGATTGAAGTTTCCTTATTGTTATGGGTAATCTGTTTTTTTTTGGGGGGGGGGGAGTTGTTGTTGGTACATATAGTTTGATGACTCTTTTGACTTCAAGTAAAAATATGTTGTAATGGTCTTCAACAGTATCGCATCCAGTGAATAGAGATTGCCAATCAAGGGATGAGAGATCGTTGTCTATAAGATCATAGTTGCCTTTCTTGGAGTTATAATTGGGGATTCCGTCGTTGTGATGATTTTTGTGTGGGCGTATGTTGAGACAAAAGTCAATTATATTGTGGTCACTGTTGGAAAAGGGTTCTTTAGTTTGTATTCCATAAATTAAACATTATTCTTGTTAGTACTGATGGGACATGTAAGTCAAAACATTTGGGGGACTTAAATTAAGGCATGCTGCTACATTAATATGTAATAAACTACCAAAGGAAAACACAGATTTAATTTAAAGGTTAATTACAGGCTAATATTAATACTAATATGGATTTGTTTTGATCGGCTTGTTGTAATAACAGTCACAGAAGGGAAGCAATATTAAAAGTAATGTATATTACTCTACTCTCTCTCTGTGTGTGTGTGTGTTTTATTCAGCATTCTGCTTTCCACAAGTGCTCTTCTAGCAGAATACAGAAAGCCTATACAATAACAATTAATAGTGCAGTTATCCTAAGTAGAAGGGGTTTAGAGGAGCAAACAGAAAAAACCATGACAGCAGTCACTAAGAAGAGAGAGGGAACAAAACAGCACTTAGAAGATTGGAGGAGCTGGGGGCCATTCTAGGACATAACTAGTGGCAGCTGGGAACAGAGGGAAGAAAAATGCAGGAAAAATTGGAGGGTGGGGCTATTGAGATACCATAATGCTTTTATTTTTAACATTATCCAACAGACCTTGTATTTGAGCAAGAATAATCTTGGCATTCAAAACCAACTCTGTAGCAACTGTATTTCTATCATAACTACAGTGAATACTACCTGCATTATTATTATTATTTTTAAAAACAACCATGATCATTTGCATTGTTTTTCAGAGAGTTCATAGAGAGACCTTTAAGCAACTTACTTAAACATAAATGCTGGATATCAACTTGAAGCCTCTCAAAGTAACGTTTATTGTGTTTGCCATCCACCTGCAGGGTCAAAACTACAAATTATTATGACATATTGGGTGTATATACACTGGTTGTATTTTACAATACAGACAAAAATGTTTAGCACTGGTAAGATTCCAAATCCAATAATTTTAAACCTTTTAAAAAAACATTTTTTGGACATACGGCATTATTAAAATGTTAATTTTAATTATAGCAATAATTGCCTTACCTTGAACCTGGTAGATGCCCTTTCAACAAGAAGAAAATGAACATCTTGGGCATCCTGTAAAGCTATATCCAACCAGTGGGACAGTTTTCCCCGCCCGGCTCCAAATTCCACAAAACAGTTCCCTGGTCCAAGCAAATGCAATCTTTTCATGTTACCTAATATAGAAGCCTATAGACATTAAGTTTATTTATGAACCAGCAAAGTTATTCATTGTACTATTTGAATTAAGCATTAATGAATTCTAAAGTCAGCAACAGATTTTTATTTTTTTGTAATTCTTTCAATATGCATGGCCATTGTGATTTAGTCCCATGCTATCTTCCTTAGAGTTTGCATGACTTATTATTCTAAATGCAGATTATTATTATTTTCAGTAGATCTAGAAAACTAATTCTTTCATGCTAACATTTATTTTTAATATTTACTACAAAAATTAATTTCCTTGATGCAAAACCTAGAACAAAAAACCCCCTCTGAATGATGTTACAGTATACATAACAAATCAGATCCCTCAATATTCTTATGAAATTTTAGGAAAATCTAGGGTTGTGGATTAAACTGAGAATAAAAACTATGTATAAAATCATCAGTGTTTTAAAGGGAACAATAAGTTGTTCACTGACCAGCAAGCAATTTATTTAGAACAAATTTTTTTACCAAATATTTTATTATTTACAAGACAGGTACCTGTTGCTTCAAATGTTTAAAAGCTGCATCTCCATTTTGGGGATCATTTAAGGCTTCTTGTAAGGCTTGATGAGAAAGAATTTGGTCCTTAAGTTCATAATTTATAGCTGAGAACAGAATGTAGAATTTCGTATTTGAGTCTGAATTGAATTAACAATGTAATTTTTCTCTCAAATGTTCATTGTTGCTATTGTATGAGAAAACTAATATCCAACTCTGCAAATATTTTAAGTGTAAACAACATTACAATGTAATTCTCATACACATCAAAAACCATAAAATTACAAAGCAGTTATTTTAAATTATTTCATCATTTACATTGTGTAATTATCCACATAAAAATAAAATACTTACTGTTACTTGCTTTTTTAAGCTTCCTAATTAAGTTATCTAGTTCTTGTTTAGAAAGTGCAGAAATTGGTGCCTGATGGAATGGACACAGAATATTTCTTACTTTGTTTATAGAAACCCATCTATACAAAGCAAAAATAAGAGCGAAAAAACATAATACCTCTATTCTGATCTAAACAATATCCAATTCACCTTGACTAGAAAATATATTTAGGTGAAGGGCCAGAATACAGTACAAATCACAGGAATGCAAAATCTTTTTGTTTTGTTTTTAATCACTCAGTGCCAATAAGGGTAATCATATCAAGCCTTCAGGTTATTGGGGGACGGATGTTTGTATCCTACATAGTGTTCTCTTTTTTTAGAACTCTTGATATCATGTTTGAATTCTGAATATTTAGCATGCTACACAACATTTGTATTCAAATACTATATGCATCTATATAGAAAATAGGTACAGTGCAGTCAGCATTTTTTAAAGCTAGCATACTTTTCTGCCGGTGCTTGATGAGCCACTATGGGGAAGAACACTTGGACGTCACAGCAAAATAAATGCCTCTGTCCATTCCATCACCAAGATTTTTCTTCCTGCTGCTCAAATAGCATTAGATACATTTAATTGCCAAGACCAAATTGTGCTACTATAATTCTGCAACAAACAATGGCCAATGGTATAGTATTTGTTATCTCTGAAACTTCTATAAAGCAGCATTTTTCTTATTCTCACTAAATATATTATTATATTTTAATCCCATCTGTCTCTCTGTCTACACATCTTACTGGTCAAACCAATGCAGTAAACATACCTAATATTCCTGCGTCAAATTTTCGCACAATTTTGTGAGTAGATTGAGCTAAGAGAATGGCCCAGCCAGTTTTCATGCCTAAGGGAGGACTAGAACTCAGTCTCCCGGTTTCTAGGCCAACGCTTTAATCACAATATCAAGCAGCTATAGAGATAGGCAGCATATAAATTTAATAAATAAATGAGCAAATAAAAATAATTATTTAGATTTTTAAAAAGCAGAGTTTCTCTCTTATAGCAATTCAAAATATATCTAAGGCATTTATTCACCTGTTCTTCAGGCAGTTCTGTTTCATTTTTCAGTCCTGCATTAATATCTTTAGCAAAGTAGACCTAAATGAAATATGGAAAAAATGTTAGACTAATTATAGCTCTCTTTTCCAGTATTTACACACATTAATAATTAATGAAACAGTTTAAGAAAAAACAAAATTGAAATTTGATTGTACCTACAGGATGAAAACAATCATAAATATTATTTAGTAATATTTAGACAAGTGTAACAGATAGGTGAACGAAGAACTAATTTTTTATTAGAACGGTAAGACATGTAATAAACTTATGAATGCAATTTTATATAACTTTTATATAAGTTTTGACTAAACAAAATGTTTAGTCAAAAATATTTTCTACTTTATTTCTTGTTTCACTTGTCTTTCAACTACATCCTTGTAAAATCTTAGAAAGTTACTTTCACTTCTACCTATTGAAAAGATTTGCCTTATACTTTGGCTTTAGGGCAGCCTAAAGCCTCTATAAACAACTTTTGCTCTGCTATAATATCCAAGACCCATTTACGACACACACAGATTCTAGGTGCTTCCAGATCATGTTTCCATTATGCAATTGTCTGGCTAAATTCACAGAATTCTATACAGGATTCAGATAAACTGCCTTCTATATGCAACCTTCTCATGTTTCTTCACGAACTTTCCAGTCTTTCTTATCTCTGAAATCAGTTAAGTATGAGAAAGTAGAACACTGATACAATAAAGCCCTACAGTACAAACACTGCAATATATTTATTGGTGGTTCTGTGATGCTTCCATCTAGAATAATCCTTACTTTCGTCAGGATATTAATCGAATGAAGTATCACTGCACAAGGCAGTTCAGCTAGTATACCTCTAGAAAGTCCGCCTTAATTTTACTTCAAGTAGTTTCAATGACACTTACAGGCTTTGGCTTCTCTCTTGAATTACACTTTTTCAAATGTTTTTGTAGCTGGTCTTCATATACAGTGCTAAAATTAAAAATAAACAAACTAGCAATGCTATTCATTGTTCTTTTTACAAAAATATCACACAAACTGCTCTTGCTTACTGTTTTGGATCCAAAGGACAAGGGATTCTTTTCCTTTTATGTTCTTCCTAGTTAAAAAAAAAACAATTTACTAAATCTTAAAATCATACCCTTTTTCAGCTCCACACACCCCTCCCCCCCCAAATAAAAGTGAGTCCCAAATGACATAGATGTAACATAATGGAATAGGAAAAAAAAACCAAATATAATGATTTACATTGGAATCGACAAAACGTTGCCTCAAAAGGTGCCTTATATCCAAGGGCAGTGTGAAAGAGAAACCTACTTTGAAATAAAAAAAAAAAACACTTGTGTTTTTTTAAAAAGCTGTTTGTATTCTGCCACTGCCCATTTCTACTTGTACTCATTTTCTAGTTTGAGGGCAACATTTTCCCTATGCATGCTAGGGAAACTAAGCCAGCTTCCCCCAACCCTGCATAACTTGCCCTAATATGTACAGATAGTCCTCGACTTACAACAGTTTATTTAGTAATTGTTAAGTGACTGAAGTATTGAAAAAAGTGACTTATGACCATTTTTCACACTTATGTCTGTTGCAGCATCCCCACGGTCACGTGATTTATATTCCGATGCTCAACAACTGGTTTATATTTTTATGATAGTTGCAGTGTCCCAGGGTCACCTGGTTCAATTTTCAATTTCATTGTACACATGTTGTGCATGGACAATTAAATGTTTGATTTGATTTGATGACCTTTTGCGACCTTCTTCTGACCAGCAAAGTCAATGGGGAAGCCCGATTCACTTAACAACCTGTGTTACTAATTTAACAACTGCGGTGAGTCACTTAATAAATGCGGCAAGAAAAGTAATCAAATGGGGCAAGAAGACTCACTTAACAAATTTTCTCACTCAGCAACCTAAATTTGGGGCTCGAGGGTGGTCGTAAGCAGAGGACTACTTGTAATCACATTCACAACCATCACCACAATTTCCAATACTGGATTCAAACGGAACTTTGACACCAGGATGGGTAGTATGAGATGAAACTGGATGAACCAGAAAACCTAATGACATTTTCCCGCAAAAGTGTGGTTGTGTGCGTGTGTGTGCACGCGTGTACATTCTACATATATAAAATATCGACGACCTGAGTGAGCTTCTTTCCTTCCTCCCTCTGCCTGTGTCAGAAAAAATAAACTGGAAGCTCCTCGAAACGAAACGCAGCGGAGCCTTTATGTTTACAAACGAAACGGCTCGTTCGGTCCAGCGGGCTTGCCTAGCTCTCCCCCTACTACCTCTTCAGCGCTGTGCTCGCCACAGAAGTGCCTGCCCTGGGCCGGGACCATCTTGCAAAAGCGCTTCTTCCGCTCCACGAAGTAGGCGCATCGCCCTGGCCGAAGAAGAGTTGCCACCTCGACGGGAGCCCCCGCCATCTTGCTTACAGGTGTCGGGGCTCCTCCCTCTTTCTCCTTCGGCTCCTCCTCCTCCACCACCACCACCCCGCCTCCCCCCGGGCGGCGCATGCCTTGTTCCCCGCCCTTCCTGCCTCGCTCTTTCCTGGCTTCCCTCCGCCCCCCCGCCCCCCGCGGGAGCAGGGCGCCAAACTCAAAGCGCAAGATGGCGTCGGAGAGCCTCTTCAGCCAGTTGGTGGCCGTGCAGGTGAAATGCCAGGGCTGCGAGGAGAGGTGAGGCGCCGGCGAGGCTTTTCTTCCCGCGGGTGAACTGGGGTCTGGGGGGTCTTCGCAGTCGGCTAAAGACTGAGGGGGGTGGCGGAGCGGGGGCGAGAGTCTCTTTTTTCCCTGCCTTGGGAGTCTTCCCCCCTCCCCTGTCCGTACTTCAGACCTGGACTCGGACTCGGACGGTTGGCTTTTCTCCGACCAGCCGGGCGAAAGCGGGGCGGAACTCCTCGTCTGGAGTGGCCTCCGTTTCTTTCATTCCCCTCACCCCCACCCCATTTTATTTTTATTTTCTTGCCCCCAAACCTTTCAAAACAAAAGCGACAGAAAGTTATAGGTTTTTTGAACATGAGCGCTTCTACCACATAAACCCATAACAATTCTGGGGAGGAAAAGGGAAAAAAAACCAACCACAACGGTCATGAATGAAAAGCCTCGCAGGTTTTCTCTCAGGCTGCGGCCGCTGGGAGTGATCGATGGGCTTTTTAAACAACTGTTGCAAGCTTGAGGGTGTGTATAGCGTGGTTTTTGCTGGAGTCAATAGGTGAGAAGCGATTCTGGAAATGTACACATTGTTCTCTTCAACTGTGTAAAGTTGATGGATACAGTGGCTTATTCTTTTCTAACTCACGCTCCAGTTGCCTATGATTAATGCTAATGTTTTATAATGTATTATAGATGCTAAACGGCTACATATATGTTTCTTTAAACAGCAGCTAGATCTTTTCAGGTATTTTTAACCATATCTTGGCCTCATGGTGGAGCTTCCAAGCTTTTAATAGTTAAATGACAGTCAGATACTGAGCAGAGGGACTCTTTAAGAGTCAATTGTCATCTATCAATATCTGTCTCTTGGTTAGTTGTTAAGCTTTTGGAAGGATGTCAAGGGGGAAAAAAGTGGGGGCGGGGAGATTCTTTAATATCTGCTCCTCATTTCTTAGTGTGGATTGTTTAGTTAGAGCCACTGGATCTGAGTTGCAAAAATCCAGACAACCTGTCGAGATTTTATTGCTGTCATCTCTGGTTGTCTGGATTTTTGCAGCCCAGATCTGGTAATTTTAATTTAGCAAGCTTTCCTTATAGTGTTTAAAGAATAATAAATGGTACTTTCCCATAATTTTAGTGCAGTTATGGAAATAACTTTTGGAATCGGAGATATTACCAATGAATAATTTATTGAACTTATATGCTGCCTAAGTCTCAACGACTGTGCAGCTCTCAAAAATCAAAGAAAAATTATAGTAAAACATACAAAATTTTAAAAAGTTAGCAGGCAAAATGAAGAAAAGGGGCTCGATGTCTCTTGCCGAAAACTTGGATGAAGAACCAAACCATCTGACTTTCAGGGAGAACAACAATCCTGCAGGGTTGGCACACTGTGGGTTCCTTTGATTGAACAATGTCATTTCTCAGGACCACTTTTGGAGTCAAGTGATTCCTGAGGCAATTAGGCATTATAGGGCTTTACAGGTAACAAGGGTAGTCCCTTGAATCACACCTAGAAATAAACTGGCAACTACTGATATATTCTGGACCACTTGAAAATTCTGGATGGTCTTTGAGGGCAGCCCCATGTAGAATCATTTAGTAGTCAAGCTGTGAGATGACGAGGGTATGAGTGACTGACCGAAGAGTAGCTCCCGGATATAGGAAGAGTGCAACTGGAATACCAGCTGGATGCAGCAGACACCTGCTCTTGAAGCAGGAGCTGCAAGTCCAACAAAAAACCCAGATTATTTATCACCCTTGAAGTGGGAAGGGGTACCCTTTCAAGGTCAAAGGTGGAAAATTCCCAGATCTATTCTGGACAAACAAATATCCACAGCTACTCAATCTTCATAGGATTAAATTGGAAGCAGTTTCTCTCCATCCAGACCTATATAGCCTCCAGGCACTGGGACAGAAACTTGACAGTCTTACTTGGTTGCTCTGGAGTCAAAATATTACAATTGGGTATTATCAACAAACTGAGGATGCCATATCCCTAACTGGCAGATGACCTTATTCAGTAGTTGAAAAGAAAAGAGAGAGTAGAATCCTGCAATCCTGGAGAGAAAGGAAGAGAATCATCATAAAGTGTTCACAAATAGTTTGGAAAGTGTAGTTCTCAGCTGATGCTGCATATGCTATGTACTCATCTTTGAAGGGCTCTGATTATTTGTCATGAATGAATAATTTTTCCTACTGGTACCTTTTCATAAAATTAATGTCAATTAAAACTGGTAAATCCAGACATCCCCACCTTGAATTTGGGGGGAATTATTATAAATTGTAATTTCAGATTGTGTAGGACTGTGCAATCTTCTTACATATTCTATTCAGAACTAACTACAGCCCCTTGGAAACCATGGTAAAAGGTGCAAGATAGTTGCTTGGAATATTCTGGCCCTAATTCTCCGTACTTGACTCTCAATTGGGCTTTTGGTTTTTTTCTCTGAGGAAAAATTTATTTCCCCACTTCTTGCAAATCTGTTGGTTCTTTAAAGTTTGTCTTCCTTGTACATTAATAGTAGTATTTTCATGTCATAATATTTGTCTGAATATTCATGCAAAGTAATGTCTAGTTATTAAGCTGCATTAATAAAAATTGTATGAGTGGTGATTAATATAGTGATATTTAGGATCATAACTGATTATTTAATGAATTATATAGCTATCCATTTTATTGAACGTGATTATAGGTGAATCATTTTTTTTTCTTATCTAGTAAAAATATACAAAATATGTTGAACCAACAGCAATAAAAATAATATAACAATTAGTAAAACTGATAGAATAATAATAAAAAAAATTAGAAATAAACATAAAAAACAAAACTGCAGGTGATTATAATAATCTAAACAATGCAGGCATCCTGCAGAGCCACATTTTAAGGGCTTTCCGGAAAGCTAGCAGGAAAGATTGTCTTTATGACAATTATGGTATATTGACTTTACAATAGATATAATTCTGTGCAAACTCTCTTAATCGATCACCTTTACTTGAATTAAAATACAACATTTCATTTATCAATTGAAGAATAAATTGCTGTTACTTATATCAATATATTGAATGCACTTTCATGTATTTTGCAGACGAATAAAGGTCCGAGTGAGTGTTGAAATGCAATCAACAACAAATCCCATTCATAGAAAGGTTTGTATTTCCTTCATTGTGCTTTTGTTTTCAGTTGTTACAATAAATGATCCTGCTTAAAATTTTATTTGCTAACTCTAGCCAAGGATATGCCTTCATGAACAATAGACTTTATTGATTATTTATCAGAATAAATATTGTGAAGAAGAATAATAATTTCATCACTACAGAACAGAGGAAGGAACTTATAAACCTGGAAGTAATATTCCATGATAACTGTACAATTGGCAAAGTTGAGACCAAAGTGGGGCTAGCCTAATCAATATATTTCCAAATAACATTGTATTCATTCAGTCTCTTTTCTACCCTTCATTCAATACTCTTGCATAGATTTCCATGTTAATTTGTCCTCCCATCCTTTCATCTGGCCTCCTCTACATCATGACTAATTTTTCATATGTATTCCCTCCCCATATATTTAGTAGTTTTATAGTTTGTAATTGTCTGCTGAGAAAAGCTATGTTTCTTTTCTTAACTAATAAAAATATGCAAAATTTGTTGAATTGTGAACAGAACACTCCAGAAAACTGGAATATTATAACAGAATAATGGAGTTGGAAGGGAACTTGGAGGTCTTTTAGTCAAACTCCCTGATCAAGCAGGAGAGCCTATACCATTTCAAACAAATGGGTTGTCCAATCTCTTCTTAAAAACCTCCAGTATTGAAGCTGGAGGCAAGTCGTTCCACTGATTAATTGTTCTGTCAGGAAATTACTCCTTAGTTCTACGTTAGTTCTCCTTGATTAGTTTCCATTTATTGCTTCTTGACCTGTCATCTTCAGGTGCTTTGGAGAATAGATTGACCCCTTTTCAGTCCACAAAGATATTAGAACATTGCTATCATGTCATCTCTAATCCTTCTTTTCATTAAACTACAGATACCCAATTCCTGCAACCGTTCTTCATATGTTTTAGCCTCCAATCCCCTATTATTGCTGAAATCTCCTGGATCATGCTATTCTAAGAAAAAAATCAAGATGTTCAAGTTACGGTGCCCTGGATGAACAAAGCCTGTTTTGGGGGTTATACCCTCCCCTTTGGAACACCTCAGACTGGTTCCATGTAATTTGTTTCACAGACTGATAAAGTATCAGTCTTTCAGTCTTCGAAGGATTCTTCAAAGAATTTATGTAACTACTATGTAAATTTTCTCTATGGTTTCCTTAGGTGATTAGAAAAAGTATTTGTTGATAGCAGTCCCATAACCATTGATTATTTTGAGGAACAGTACAGATCACAAAGTAGATGTGAATTTAATTTCCCTTTATTACAGAGTAGGTTTTATTACACAAAAATATTTCCCATGGAAGTGTGTGTTTTACTTATTTTTATTATTATGCTTATATATCTTAGATTTCTAGATACCTTATTCCTATGTTTCTGTATCTATGCCTTATTTCTTATAATTAAATCTGTGTTTTATTTCTGTTTGAACATTTGTTTGTTCTGCTGTATCTATATCTCTTGTTTCCTGCAAACTACTTCTGAAATCTTGCCAAGAAAATTGCAGGAACTTGTCCAGGCAGTTGCCAGGAGTGAACACTGATTCAAAGGCGCACATTAAAAAAAATCTCTTTCTCAGCCAACTCTCCCTCCTCCTTTCCAAACAGTAAATGTTTTAACCTAGACTCTGAGATGTCCTTAGAGCACTACTATTTTTGACCCTTGCTGGATCTTTCACTGGAAAACTAGCTACACTGAACTTGGTTGTTTTCTTGCAGAAGTTTCATTACCCAAACCAGATAATATCATCAGATGCAACAAAACAATCAAGCTCAGAGAACACCAAGGACCCCTCATTTCAACCCTGAGCTACAAATATTCTCCTTTATTGACACTATAGCTACAGCTATGCTGCAGGAACTTCCAGTCTCAGTAAGGTGAATATGGTTGATTGACTGATGTTGCAGCTAGGCTTTTTCAGGCTCCACCACTGGTTTGGCTCTCAAGGCTACTAATGCCATTTAACCATCTCCCTCCAGTGCTAGTCCTCTTCAAGGATTCTGATGTCAAATTGTTTCTTGGCATTTACATTTCCTGCACTGCTCTTTGCCAGGATCTTGTGGAGGCCTTTGTCTCTTTCAAATAGCACCCTGAAGATCATCAATGTTTTTGCTTGGTCTGACAGTCCTGGGCCATGCCTCTTTTCACTCGCTTTTCACAATGACACTCTAGTGTAACTTCCACTCCCAAAACATGGTGTCTCAAAAAGGGCTGTTTTAATAGTTGGTAAAAGAGTGGAATCTGGATCAAAAGCTCCCAAACCTCATTCTACATCTGTATCCTACCATAAATTTTATTAAAACAATTCAATTAAAATTTGAACTTTTAAACTTTTAAACATAGCATGTTATTTGCTATCAAAGTTACAGTATTGATAAGCCTGTTTTCAGCTGTAGAATGGAAAAGACCAAGAAAAATGGTCTGGGCCTTGAAAAAGAAGTTGATGGATTAGGTAGGAGCCCTCCATCACTTTACCTTCACTTCAAAGACAATTTGGATAAATTCTGCAGTCAAAATATTTTTTTAAAATATTTTGGAGTAAGGATTGCTCTCAGACTTCATACTTCTGCTATTGTTTTGTGATACTCAGAGGATTTGTATGTTGTATGGAAGCTTTCAGCATTTTATGAATCGTATGTTTTTGGTACTATAGAAATAATTATTCTAGAGAAATACATTTAATTTTTGAAATTCATACTCCCTTCAGGATTTAGTTGTTCGGCTAACTGAAGATTCAGATCCCTTTTTCCTGTATAATCTTGTTATTTCTGAGGAAGATTTTCAGAGGTAGGTTTTCTTCTGATTTTTATAAATTTATATTGTAAATACACTATCCAGCATTAGTAATAAAAATTATGGGTGTAATAGTCTTGCTACAAAAATAACCAAATTAATCTCTATATTGTTAGGATGATGTAAAGCATGTAACTCAGTACTTATATGGAAATTGTCACTGATGTTTGGTATGTTTAGTTTTGTTCTCTTTTTGCATGAATTATGAATACTAACTTTAGACCATGGATCTATTTGGGCCAATATTTTTCAGCTAGTTAACTTTAAAATGTGTGGATTTCAATTCCCAAAATTTTCCCACCATAGTGACTGGGGAATTCTGGGAATTGGTCCATTCAACTTAAATGTTGCCAAGTTTCATTGACAAACAGTGATTTAGACTTTCAACATTTTGAGGAGAGGCATCCTTATTTCAGGATCATGTTCTAGGAGCTACATGAAAACTACTGGGCTAAAGAATAAATAATGCTAGAAAGGGAAATTAGTTTACTGCAGTAATAAGTGATTAATTGAAGTGACAGGTAAATTGTGGTAGCATTCCAAAAGGTCATAAGGAAATTGTTTTGTAATTTTTTTCAGGGCAAACACTTTAGAATTCTTAGCTTCGGAAAGAAATGTCTTGAAAATTAACTGCTTTTAGCACACATTACATTGATAAGTGTATTTAATTATTTCTTTTTTTCTATGTAGTTTAAAACTCCAGCAAAGTCTCCTGGTAGATTTTTCCGCTTTTCCTCAGAGATTTATAGATCTTCTTCAGCACTGTATCCAAGAACAAGATAAAGAAATTCCAAGGTTAGTAATACATAAACTGTATGTACTTTATATCATTTTCAAATCAATGAATATAAATAGCATTTGTAAATCAATCTATCATTTATGTAAAATATCAAGTTCAAGAAAATAAAACTAAAATTAAAAAAGGAGACAATAGGATCATTTGCATTTGTTTACTTCCAAAACCTTTTGATGTCTCAAGAGCTGCCCTTATTTATTACTTTTTTAGGGGCTGGGTATTAGCACTATGAGGTAGTTCAGGCAGTAAACACAACCAGAAGTAATATCTCTTATCTTACAGGTAGTCCTCAGTTAACAGTTTGTTCAGCAACTGTTCAAATTATGATGGCATATCATATAGTTACATTTGGTCCTCAAAGTTACAACTATTTGTAGCCTGTAGTCACATGGTCAGAATTTAGGCACTTGGCATTTACTATTACAGGGTGTGTTTCAACTTCCCCCCACCTGCCTATCCCCCCCAACTCTGTCCTTTGGCTATCCTGCATTTTACCACCCTGTACTCTGCCCGGCACTCCACTGCCCTGCCATCCACAGCTGACTTTCGATATCTTGCTCCCACTGTGGATAAGTTGCACCTGGCCTGGTTCTTCACAAGGCAGCTGCTGGCTGCACGTGGCCTTTTTCCTGAAGGTGCACACCTCCTTTCTGAGGCCTTGCAAAACATTCCCAAGGCTGTAGCTGCCTCATAAAGGGCCAGGCTGGCAGACCTTGTTGGTAGGAGGAAGAAGGCAGTGAAGGTCAGCTGAGGACAGCAGAGCACAGGGTGGAGGAAGTGGCTACCACTGGGGCTTCACACTGCAGAGCTGGGGCGGCTGTAGCTAAGTAGCTGTAGCTTTGTGGCAGTGGTTGAGGTTTTGCACCATGGTGTTAGGTTGGCTGCCCATAGTATGGAGATTGAGGCAGTATTCCTTGGTGGCAGGAGCTTTGCCAATTGCTCTAGGACTGAAGTAGAGGCTTAAAGCAGCAGGGATAGGGCAAGTCTGCTGAAGGTCCCAGGCCTCTACCTCAGCCCAGATGCCACTGCCACTTACAGTTACATACATACATACATGCCACTATGCAGGGCAGCCAAAAATGATGGCTGGGGGTTGTACCAAAGGGCAGCTTCACCCTGTGATGTTGGGACAGCAGCAGCTGGGGGGTTGTGGTATGCTGGGACAGCTGGTCATGGCATGGGGCTTGAGGTGGCATTCATTGGTAATGGTGGAGCTGGTTGAAGTAGCGGCCTGAGGACAGCAGTGTGTTCTAAAAATCACAAAAAACCCACTATTGAGTTTTAGCAGTGCACTGAAAGGGATTTCATGCTACTAAAAATGTTCATGAGCAAAGATTTCCCATTGTTCCTTAGGGATTATAAGTAGCTTTGCCTTTTTTGAGAAAACATGATTTTGAGAGGGTAATTTTAAGTATTTAAGTATTTTGTTATATGTGATATTTTTTTTCTTTTTAGGTTTTTGCTACAGCTGGCTTCTTCAGGACCTAGTTTAGATCACACACCTTCATTTCTAAATGTGGTTGAGACAAATCCATTTAAACATCTTACCCATTTATCACTAAAATTCTTACCAGGAAATGATGCTGAAATCAAGAAATTTTTGGCATCCTGCCTCAAATCTATTAAGGTAAAACGAAAGTTTCAGTTACATACATACATACATGTACATGTATATGGATATGTGAGTATAGATCAAGGGTTCCCAACCTTTTCTATAACCTAAACCCCTAGAACGCTTCTGATATATTCTCGCACCTCTTAAAATAAATAAATAATTATATGCATATAATTATACATATACACTATAATTTTGAAACTTCTAAACCCAAGTTTTCGCACCCCTTGGAAAATCATCTCGCACCCCCAGGGATAGATATCTACCCCCTGGGATGGATGGATGGATGTTGGCAATAATAATTATTTTTGGTCATTTAGAGAAGAAAAAGATGAAGTTAAATGGCAAATGCTATTGAATTTAAGGCTCACTAATATCCTATCTTTAACGTTCTTTATATTTTTAGAATTGATGGATAGCAATACAATTAAATCTTAGTTTAATAGACCATTTGAGAGGTAAATGATGTCTTATTTTTGACTGTCATTAAATTAAATAAAATGCTATCTGCAGCGATATGAAAATTTTATCCATTGAATGAAGGTCCTTTATTACTGAAGTCTAAATTGAGATTTCACCCTTATCTAGTTTAGAATGAATATTCTAAAAATATTTAGAAAAAGAACCAAACAGCCTGTGTAACTCCTGTAGTATAAATATACTTGCAAATTATGTGCTAAAAAAGGCAATCCTGACTGACAAAAAAAGTCCTCCAATGTCCAGGAGAGTATATCTACTACTACTTTCAGTTAATCATTTTGTAGACTGAAAATATATTGACTGAGAAACTTTCAATTGTTTATAGGAAGAAAAGTTATTACTGGAAGAAAAACTTAGCAGAACAGAGGAGAACCTTACAAGACAGCTGAATTATACACAGCAGGTAAGAGCAAAGCTTCAGTATGCTCCAATTTACAGAAAACATATCTATATATATAAACTATGTTTTATCAAGAGTATCTAACTATAAAGCTAATAGGATATGTATTACAGAACTTCTTTTATAGAAATATAACTGTACCAGAATAGCACAGTTATAGCAAAATTAGAGAACTGTTATTATACCTTGAAGGAATAACAAGTTAACTGTATCATAAGCCTAAGTAAGTGAAAGCCTAATTAATTGGAGGAACTTCATGTCTTAATATACTACAAACCTTTTTTAAAGAAAACAATTTAGATTAATAGGATTGTGAGGGCATACAGAACAATATTTATAGTGCTATATTTTTTTAAATAGATAAGACATGAGTGTGGTCCTTTAAGAATTTAACATTGTTAAATTCTAGCATTATATGAAAGCCTAGTGATTATGCTTTTTTCTTTTAGAACTTGTCAGAAAAGAGCAGAGAACTAGATAACTTAAGAAGTGAATGGGCCTCCAAGACAGCATCATTGAACAGTAAACATACTCAGGAATTGTCAAATGAGAAGGAAAAAACTCTGCAGGTATGTAAATAATACAGCGTATAAAACAAATGATTCCTTTTAAAATTTAAGAATTATTAAAACACTCTATTTTTCATAGGCACAAGCACATTATCAGCAACAGAATGATCAACAGAAAAGAGACATGGAAAACTTGCATCAGAAAACTGTCCAGCAACTGCAGAACAGGCTGAAGGAGCTGGAACTTGCTAACAAAGACTTAACGGAAAGGAGATACAAAGGCGATTCAACAGTCAGGGAACTTAAAGCAAAATTATCAAGTGCAGAAGATGTATGTAACACTTGCCAATTTGTGTCTATTTAAAGATCTGATTTTCATGACTTACAATTTCTAATTTTTCCATATTATAATAGGTGAATTTAATACAGTTATGTGATGTAAAGTTGTAAACAATTGTTGCCGTATATACTTACTTTTTAAATCAAGCTTAAATCTTTAAAATACTTTAGAATGCTTTATTTTATCCATTTGATAAGGAATGCCAGAGAATGAAGCAAGAAGTTCTATCCTTACGTCGGGAGAATACCACCTTAGATGCTGAATGCCATGAAAAGGAGAAGCAAGTTAATCAATTGCAAATGCGAGTTGCTGTTTTGGAACAAGAGATCAAAGATAAGGACCAGCTTGTTGCCAGGACAAAAGAAGTATTAGAAGCCACACAAGAGCAAAAGGTTCCTAGAATTTTTCCTATAGTACCATTATAACAAATTTAGTCATGAAAGTTCATTATGATCTAAAATGTTATGCTATATGTTTGGCTAAGTGCACGTGACTAGGTGTGTGCTGTTTAATCTGGCAATAAAAAGCTCCATTGGCGGAGACATCAACATGCAAGTTATACCTGTCAGTACCTGTTTTAAAAAGCTAGATAGCTTCATGATTCCAGGAGGAGGAAACTGAATAGTCATAGCCATTTTAAAGCAGTTTATCACACTGCCTCTTCAATTCAAACTTATTTTCCTGGGGTTGTAAGCCAAGGGGAAAACAGCTTATTTAAGGAGGCATCTTTCTGATTTCAGCTTTGGAGTATAGAGCATTTCTATGTATTATCTGTAAAGTTTACATTATATGAAAAGTAGAACCTTTGTGGCATCGTAGTCTGCTTTTTATTTTTTTTAAAAATTGAAAGCTTATTTTGGTGTTAACATAGAACATAATTTTTGACAATCTGAAACTTCTTTGCCAAACTAATAATATGGTTCCCTAGAACTTGGCTGTGTTTAGAAGTTCAAACACCTTGCATACACCATCTTCCTCCCCCACCCCCGAATTATAGATTGTAGAACATACTGCTATTTAATAACACATTAAACTTTCAAAGTACTGCTGGTTTTACAGACCACATTATAGGATTTGCAGAACTACCAGCTTCTTGTATATTTGAAAATCAATCCATTCAGATTTTCACTTTTTTATTTTGTTACATAATCTTCCTAACATTATATATTCTTTAAAGGCAAACCTGGAAGAAAATGCAGAAAAGAAACAATTTCAGATAGGAAAACTGGAAACCTCACTGAAAGCTCTGTCAACTGAGTTCCTTAAGGTTTGTTTAAACATAGTATTCTTTTTTATTATGATGATTTGATTTTTATCTGATCATCATTTAGTATTCTGTAATGTTGTTTCCAGGCCAATGAGATAATAAAGAAACTGCAAGGAGATGTAAAAACGTTAATGAGTAAGTTGAAATTGAAAAACACAGTAACAGTTCAGCAAGAAAAGCTCTTGGCTGAAAAGGAAGAAAAATTACAGAAAGAACAAAAGGAATTACAGGAAGTGGAAAGTTCTCTTCGAGAGAAAGAACAAGAGGTAACTTAACAGCCTGGCTTCTATATAATAAATGCTTAAACAAGTACTAAGATTTCCTTTCATCAGAAATACTATTTTCTTTTTTGCTATAAACCCACTTTTCTCTGGAATGAAGTAAAGATTTCCTCAGTTTTAACTCATTTCTTGGTCACATTATGTCCTTGTAAGTTTCTTGAGAAAAATGGTTTTTTCACAAAATGATTTACTATTATTAAGGAATTCTTTTTTTCCTATTTTCCAATCTTATTTACTATCCTGGATTTTCCTAGTGGTATCCCATCCAAGAATGAATAAAACTTGAACCCCGTTTTTCCTTGTTTTTGGATCAGATAATCTTAATTAGATGCTTTGAATTAGATTCCAGCTGCTTTGAAATACTCTGAAGTATTTTTGTTAAACATCCCTATACATTTACTTATTTATTTAGATTTCAAGAACAACTTACACAATGATGTTTATTATTTAGAAGAAATGTCTTCTGACATTAATTTTGAAATATTGTTTTTTTGCTGTGGATAAACATATTTCAAATAACTAATAATATGAAAACATTTCAGATATCCAAATTGCAAGAACAATTAGAAGCTACAGTACAAAAGCTGGAAGAAAGCAAACATCTTCTCAAAACAAATGAAAATGGTATGTGATTTTCTTGCATTAACTACTGTCTAATTCTTTCAATAGTCTATATTTTAATATATAGATTTTATTAGGAGATATAGTCTTAAGTTTTGGGCTAGGCATTTTCTCTGTTATCTATTTGTTTAGGCAATAATCGTGAATGTTGGACTTAAAGATGAATAGTTCTTTTTTAAATGTTTGGAGGATTTTTGAGGGTAGGGATATTGAATGATTCTGAGAAATGCCATTCTTATTTTCCCTCCTGGCACTTATTAATATTCATTTCCTTTTTCTGTATCAATGCAACTCATGCTTTTATTTTGTTTCCCTTGCAATGAATAACTTACAATG